TCTTTCGATGTTCAGTATTCGATAAAATTAACTAGTCTACGAACATTCCCAAAGTTTCAAAAATTTTTGCTCAATAAAAAATTGAAAATTAATTTTTTTACAACTTTTCCCTAAAACATGTGTTTCAATTATAACCCTACTGATTCAAAGCAAAGTTTAAAAATATAAATGGATTTATAAGTAATTTAAAAGTTAAATATTAATTTACTTGTAATGACTTTATTAAATTTCCAGCAGTCCCTAGAGGTGAATTTTTAAAAAAGTTGCTACTTCCACTTCCACTATTTGTAGATGAAGAACTTGAAATTTGTGAATTTCTAGTACTTAAATTTCCCTCATTTTGTGAATCTAAACAAATTAAATAAAATTTTGGTTTTTATTTAAATTTTACTTTGAAATTCGCTAACAGAATGGCTTCTAAATGCTCTAGTAGCTGTTGGTGAATTGTTAATTGTAGATGGAGGGGAGAGGAAGGAGGAATTGCTGATTAATAAAAAATAAATGTTTTTTGTCTAATTTTTAAAAATTTTTAGTATAATCTACTAATAAGAGAATAGATAGTAAAGAATTAAAAAATATAGGTAGTTAAATTACCGTATTTTCTCGATTAATTCCGCTGGGGAATTATTTTTTCAACCCTTCCTTGGCATGGGGAATTAATCGATGGAGGGGAATTATTCGAGTTTTGGCATTTGAACGTGCAGTAGGGTATTTGTGGATGGGGAATTATTGTTTCAATCCAACTCTAGCATGGGGAATTAATCGAGAGGGGGAATTATTAGAAAGGCGGAATTAATCGAGAAAATACGGTAGTTAAATTTTAGTTATAAGTGAAGTCAAGATAAATGAATTATTGAAAATCAACTTAAAAATAAAAGTCTATCTTTTATCCCGCCCAACTAATAATCTTAATATAATAGCTTGCTGAATATTTTAAAAACCAATTCAATTACCTAGCATTATTATTAACAACAACATTTGTAGGCAATTTCCCTATCATTTCGTTTTGATCAAATTTTGAATAAATAGAAGCCCCTTCTGGTAATAAGGATTTTGATGTTTTTCCAAATTGTGTTTCTATTTGACATTTATATGAATTAAATGAAGCAACTAAAGAATTGTGAAAACTAGCTGCATTAGAAGAAGATGAAGTTGTTGTTGTTGTTGTTGTGGAGGGGATAGGGGTATTATTTGAATGAATAAATAAAGAATATTCTAATAAAGTTATTTGTTCGAATATAAGTGAAATTAAATTTTCTATACAACGATTCTCTTCTTCACTACAGTTAATACGGCATTGAGCGGTGAAAAAAGGCTAAAAAGTATAAAAATAAATTTTAATTAGATCAGAGTTTTGAAATTTTTATTAACTATTTTAGTCTTTATCAGTTAAACTAGGAAAGGAGTTTATCAGAGTTGGGGAAAAATAACTACCTGGGGAAAACAGAGTCAACCCTGAGGACCGTTAGCTGAAGATCTTTGACCTTAAGAACCTATCTTTTGATCAACAGAATGTCATTGAAAAATTAATTAAAATATTTTACAAAGGGTCCCTTATCAAGTGATCGACTGATCACACAAATGATCATCAGTCAAGTGTCGGTGACCAATCATGTGATCAAGTCATCAGTCAATTTATCGACTGATCAGTGATCATTAGTCAAATAATCGACTGATTAATAAAGTGAATATATTATAATCTTCTATCTGAAGATGTAGGTCTTCAGGGATGTACTCAGTAAAAAACACTTTAAAAATTAATAATTTAAAAATATTTTTCGAAAAAATTTTTAGTTTTTGCCTGATAATTTTTAATTCCGCCACCAACATCTGCCTGTACAATTCCACGAATCATCCCTCCCAAATTCATATGAAATTCAGAAACAAAACCTTCAGCAACCCTACTAGATAAATCTGCAAGTTTATCATTTGCTTCTTTAACTCTTTCAATTGCTACTTCTATTGGGTGTGAAGGTAATAATTCTTGTTCATTAATTATTTGGGCAAAATTTAGTAAATTCGGCAATGGTCTATAAATATAAATTAATGCACCTTTATTTTTGTTTTATAAAATCTGTTTAAGTGTATGCTTAATATGGAAGTACATTCATAATTCAATAACCGATCAAATATTTTATGTCTGCTAATTATAAGTAGATTATAACTATTATGGTGTGTTTATTTTACTCAAAAGAAGTCGCACCGTTGTGTTGTAAATATTTTCTTGTGTAACCACAACCTCATAGTTTCATTATCTTCCAATTCTGTCCATTTTGTGTTTGTTTTAAATTCTCTCCGAATAAGTTGAAAACGCTGGATTTTGTGATATTTATAATACCAAGATGTTAATCGAGAAGGGGATAGCAATAATTCGGAATAAAAAGGAAAAGGTATTGGAGTTACAGTAATTATCTGAAATTGTAAATTTAAAAATTAAAAATATTTTTAATTAAAATTTATTTTATTTTTTAAAGAAGAAAGAAAATATAAAGAGAAAAGTTGTCATAGCAACATAAAAAATATTCCCCAAATTTATTTTATTGGGGCTTTATATTTCGATTTTATATTGTTTTCTTAAATTATTAATTGAAATGAACAAGGATTGACCCCAAATATCAGAAAGCTTTCTATTTAAGATATAGCTTCTAAATCATCTCAAGAAATTCCAAATCAAATATATATAGGTTTAGGCTGGGGGTTATTAAGGGGTTTATAGGGGTAAGCAGTTTATTTAATGTTTAATAATTTTGAATTAAAAATATCTTTTGAATAGATTAGCAACCCGAGCCTTCGGGGGCGGGATCGTCGGGGATTGGGGTTTGCTGGGATAGAGTCTTCGGGGTTCGGGTCGGGTTTTTTGCCAAAAAAATAGTCGGGATCGGGGTTTCGGGGGACGGGGTGCTACCCTACGTTTAAGCATTAAAATAAAAATAATTAATTATTTAATTCCACATTTCAATATTTTATAGATAAATGTCAACGACAGATTTAACTATACACCCAGCTGAAGATGAGTCAGAAACTCGTCGTTTATTTGAAATAAAACAAAAATTCACTCGTTACAAACCCCCAGATAGATTAAATCCAACAATTTACAGACTTTTTATTCAACAAAAATTCTCTCAATGTAAACAAAAAATAAAGGTTAAAATTAAATTTGATATTGTTTCAATTATTTTTTAATAAAAAAAGGAAATTCTTGATGATACACCTGAAATGCTTTGTGAATACCCTCTTTTACTAAGAGGGCAAATTGCGAGGGAAGAGGGGGAAATATGCGAATCGGTAAAAAAAAATTTTTTTGAAAAATCAGATTGTTAGTTTAAAAAATTATTTAGGTAGAATGGATAAGCAAAGCATTGAAACACAATCCTCGCTCACCCAAGTATTAATTAAACTAAAAATTTTTAAAAACTTTTCCTTTTATTAAAAATCGTGGGTTTTGATAGGATCTGCCTTCCTATTCGAATTATTTTCTAAATATTTAGAGTTTTGTTCGAAATGGGAAAAAGTCATTACTTGTTGGGTGAACACCAACGCGCAATTGAATTATTTAAACTTGCTTTGGAAGCACAACAAAAGAGAAATGAGGAAAAAGGTCGGGGGTTGCTTGATTGGGTACAAAAAATTTTATATCAAGGTGATTAATAAAAACATTTTAGAGATTATTTTATTGGCAATCACTTGCTGTATATCACGTTTATAAATCACCGGAACGAGTTAAAAAGGTTAAGAAAATTTAAGCTAGAGGTTAAAAATAATTTTGTTATTTTTAGTCTCAGGATGTAATGTTGGCATGTCCAAAAATTAACTCGAGTGCTGATATGGTAAAATAGTTTTGAGTTGTGTTTTAGGGAAATTTTTGTAAGATAAGGGGGATTAGGTAAGTTAGAATCCTGCCAAGTTTTTAAAGATATAAGAATTTAAACAGCAAATCGGAATGGCATTATCCCCGGTATAATTACAGCGCTGACACAAATAAGACTAGATAAGGCTAATATAAGTAGGAATATAAAATTAAATGATTAATTAAATGGCTAATAAATAATAAATAAAATTGTTATAATTAAAGTTAATGTTTCTGGCAAAAATATTAGATGAACAGAACGAAACAGGCGCTGCAGTTGAAGCTTATAAGCGCAGTATAGAAATGGAACCAGAAAATGTTGATTTAATACATTCACTTGGAATGTTATATTTAAAAGTATTTTTAAATAAAATATTTTTAAAATAAATAAATAGATGGAGGATCAGTCAAATGCTTTCACAACTTTTGGAAAAGCTTTAAGTTATGATGGTAATTATGTGCCATCTGTGCTAGCTATTGCTTCAATTTTGCAAATGAATAATGATTGGGATGTTGCTCTTTCAAAATATAAGTAAGTAGGAGAGATAGGACTGGGAGGGTTGTACGGTAAAGAATCTCGATAACCGATATTTTTGACTCGATAACCGATATTTTTGACCGGGGGATTTTTGACCGTCTAGTAAATAAGTAGAAGTAGATTTATTTTATTCGCAATTAAGTTAACCCCAGAAAGTATAAATTTTTCGTTGTAAACCATGAACAGATTCAGGTTCTTAATGTAATCCAGCCGGCAAGCATTGAAAACGCTTAGGGAGGGAATTATGTAGATATATTCACGGGTAAGCGAAACATGCTTGATTATTGCCCGGCGAGTAAATTTCTGCCTAACCCCAATTGTATGTATAAAATCCTATCCTCAGGCGGCAATCCTCACTTCTCAAAAATTAACTTTTTTGATAAGTTTAGTGAGATAAAGGGAAATTTAAATTTTTAAAAATTAAATTAGGATTGTTGCTGCTGATTTTGATCATTCCTGTGCTATTTGGAATAATATTGGAATGTGCTTTTTTGGTAAAAGTAAATTAATTGCGGCACTTTCTTGTTTACACCGCGCTAATTATTTGTGTCCGTTGGATTGGAAAGTTTGACAAATTAAAATTAAAAATTATTTTTTTAAAAAGGTTTTAATAAATATGGCTCTTGTTTATTGCGCATTAAGACAATTTGCTTCAGCTTATCATTTTGCGGCTGCTGCCTATGCGGTTAATTCAAATAATGCAAGTATTCTATGCGTTATGTCTCGTATGTTTTTGAATAAAAATTAGTAAATTAGAATAATTTGGGTATTAAATTTGGAATTAACGAAATTTAAATAAGACGACTAATTAATTTTAGAATTAGTATTAGAATTATTCCCCGTCCCCGAAAGTCGGAGAATTTGAGAGATTTTTTTTGCAAATTCCCTGCCCCGCCCCCGTGGCAATGCATCCCCGAAAGCCCTAAAATTTATCCCCCTGGCCCCCCCGCCCCTCCCCCCATCGGGAAATAACCCTAATTAGAATGATATGTGTTATTTTAAAATATAAAGAGATATATCTTAAAGTCCTATGCTTTTATTTTAGGCGAAATTTAATTAATTATCTACTAATTATCACCAAATTAAGTTATTTTAACTGAACTACAAGATTTTCGAAATGCATATGCTGCATATAAAAAAGCTATAAAACTAGAACCAAAATTATGGATAGCTCGCTACAATTTGGCTATTTTAGAATCTCGTCGGGCAAATTATAAAGAAGCTGTTAGTATTTTAAGAGAATTGGAGAATGAGGGAGTAAATTATGGAGAAAATAAAAATCGTTTAAATTCTGAGGTTTTTGAGATTAAAAATTCCCTTAAAAATTTCATTTTTTAATAAAAGGAACTTAAGCAGTTAATTGAAAAAGTTCGGAAAAGATTTGAAGCTATTGCGGCAATTGAGGGAAGAGCCGTGCCAGAAATAAAGGAGGAAGAGAAATGAAGGGAGGAAATAAAAATTTTAATGAAGAAGAGAATTTTTAATTTAAATTTATAAAAATATTTTTATTTAATTATTATATCAGAAAATATTATTAACCAACCTGTACAAGTTTATTTTCTGATTTTTGCAATTCCTCACTAGTAATTTCCATTGACTCAATAAATTTAAAATCAGAAAATGACGCAAGGAAACGTTGCTTGAAAGTAGCCCAGGATTCTAAAGGTTGACCACGAAAAATAAATTTTTTGTTTTCCAAATAAGAGGGGCATTCTAAAAATAAATGTGGTATTACATTAGCCCTGATTAAAAGAAGAAAAACATTTAATTAGGATATTCTCATTAATCTCAACATTAATTAGGATATTCTCATTAATCTCAACATTAATTAGGATATTCTCATTAATCTCAACATTAATTAGGATATTCTCATTAATCTCTTACTTTTTCCATAAAAAGCAATCAAAAAATAATTACATTCAAGCCTTAATTCTTTAATTATTTTTTCATATAAAGAAGCATTCTTTTTCAACAATTCTGATAATTTTGAATAATCAAAACTAAAAATATATGATTAATCATTTAAAAGTATTTATTCCCTTACAAAATTGTCTCGTAAACATTAATTAGCTCTCTATTTGTTTCTATTGCTAATTCCCAATGTTGACCTAAATAATTAAATTAAAAATAAAATTAATTTTTATGTATTAGGTGGGGAACGGGACGGGATTAGAAGACGAATTGAGGTAATTAAATTAAAAACAAAATTCCATTGACTATATAAATTTCAAAAATATTACAATATTTTAAAATCAACCCTAGTAAGGGATTAATTTTCCAAATTTAATTCTTTAATTATTTTAATTTTTAGAAGACGAATTGAGGTGGCAAATATAAATATTAGGACTAAAAAAAGATGGAAAAAAGGAAGGAAAAATTTTCAAAAATAATTAAAGAATGTAGTCTCAATCTCTCAAATATGTGTTGTTCCATTTGTAAGAGTTCAGATAGCTGGGGATTTCCTAGTACCTATCAGCCCTAGTAAGGGATTAATTTCCCAAATTTAAAATCACCTTTTTCAAATAATTTAGCCATTTCAACACAAATATATTCTTTTAGAGCCATTTGTGTAGTAAAAATTAAATTTTGTTTGCGAGCCCCATAAAGATATTTGGATGGACGTTCATTTGTCCAATTTAAAAGAGAAGAATGTCTTTGGAGTGTAATTGCTGCTTCCACCCAATTTCCAGCAGAAATATTTAGATCATATAATTTATATCTTTAAAAATGAATGAAAATTCGGAGGAAAATTTGAAAAGGGCATTTACTCAAAATCCATTGAGAAGCAACTTTTAAATAAAATTATTTTCTTAATTATCAAAAATAGTCTCTACACCTCTCTTACTTCGTCCCCATCAAAGTAAGTAACCCTTGAGGCGTTGGATTACTCAACTTTTATTTTTCCTATCTTCAATCTTATTTTTGTTAAACGAAAAAAGAAAAATCAAAAACAAACAAATAAATAAGGTAAAGACTGTTTTGCCCCATTTCTAGATAGAATTCAATTAATTGAACTGTACAAAAAAGCCCTGTTTCAATTTGAGTTTGTGATTGAATATTTAACACAGATAAATATGAAGAGTAGAGATCAAGTAATTTGTTTATATTCTAAAAATTAATTATTAACAAATAAAAGTGTTTTTTAAACAATTGAACATTTAAAGATTTTATTTAACCAAGTAAATATTTACATTTAATTTAAACCAAGGCTCCGATCAGTACTTATCTTGGAAGTACAGTACTTGCAAATCGACCTCTGTACTTCCAAAACTAGAAATGTACTTACTTGTAAGTATGTACTTCCAGATGGACTTTTTGGTTAAAAAATTAAATTTAACCTTAAAATTCTGAAAATTTTCGCCTGCGGCGCAGAAAAAGGCTTAATGGAAGATATAAGAGATGTAAGCGAGAATAAATTTTTTAGACTGTATTGCGTACTTATTTTGAAACCCCCCCCCCCTATGTACTTACAAATTGAACTTTTTATAATTAAACTTAACATTTTCACGATTGGAGCCCCGATTTAAACAGTTAAATATGTATGTATAAATTATTTAGTTTATTTTACCTTAACAAAAAATCTAGTTATACTTGCTAAGGAGTCAACAACATTTACAGCATTAATTTCTTCACTTTCTAGAGTAATTATTTTTTCATCAAATATTTCATTTAAAGTTTTCTTAAAATTTTAATTAAAAATTTTAATTTTTAAAAGAAGTCTCTATATTTTCACTCTCAATCGTCAGAACTGTGCCGAAAATTAAAATATAGAAATAAAAATCAAAACGATTTGAGAAATTTCGAAAATCTAAAATTAAAGAGGAGCCTGGTTTGCCCACCAAAAAGCCCCAAAAAATATTTTAAAAATCAAGAGAATTTAAAACCACCTTAAATTCCCCAAACAAAAAATCATCTTTAGCTTCATCTAAAGCAATATCCAATCTCTTAACAAATTCTTCAAAAAATAAACTTTTATTTAAATTTTGTTGTTGAGTTTGTTTTTGGAAAAAAGTTTTTCTTAAAACAACTTCTGAAGGGGTAATTAATGTTTTTGTATTTTGTATAAAATATTCTGTATATAAAATATCAAAAAATATTGGAGTAATTAAAAGACGTATATGTGAATTATTACAAAGAGATAACTAAAATTAAAATTTTAACTAAATATTTATTTAGTTTTTACCTCAAGTAAAGGACTAATCATTTCAGGCATTAACTGAATTTTCTGGTCTGGACTAAGTGAGTGCCACAAGGACCTAATTATTAAATAGATATTAAATAATTTATTTATCGTTAATAATGAATTTGAATCAAGACAAGATTACCGTAAATGTTCTAATAGAAGCCTGGCTCCAATAGAAATCCTTGACCTATGTATTAAAAGCCCATCCGATGAGGGGTATTGAAGAATAAATGCCCATGCTCTTATAGAAGCCCATGTCTAATTAGAAGCCACCCAATGGGACCCATTTGAAAAATAGCTTCTATTGGATCATTTAAGGTATACGATTTTTGAAAAATATTCTTTAATAAATTTTTGTAAAAAGGATTTAAATAAACTCACAATAAAATTCTAACAGAAATTTTACATATATTGTAATAATCTCTGTTCAAATAGCTTCGTCTATTATCCCTTTTTTGTCGGGAGAAAACTAAAAAATTTCTAATCAAAGAAAACATAAAAACAATTTTTCCACCTTTCTCTAAACATGCCCATTTAATTACAGCAACACAGCTATACATACATTCTAACCATAATTGGCCAGAAAAATTAATTTCAGAAGAGAATTTGTGTTGTAAATAAGCACTCGAGAAGCGAAGAATTTTTAGAAAAATTTTTGTTTGAGTTAAACGAATTTGTGACCATTCTTTAGGTGCAGGGCATCGAGATAGAAGATCTCGAAACATATGAAGCATTTCGGAAAGAGCGTCAATCCTGATTAAAATTAGGAATTAACTATAGTATAAATTCATTGTTTTTTCAAAACGTGTTATTTTATTATTATCATACTTATTCAAAGTATGTTCCAATTTTGAAAAATATTTTGAAAAATGTTGTGCAGATAATTTATCCAAAATAGCGAGTAAAAGAGAATGTAGAGGTCGTTGTAATTGAGGATCGCCTAATAAAGTGACCCTAAAAATATATTAAAAATTAATTAAGTTGAAACATAAATAATGAGCCCTGCTAGAGTTTAACGGATTAACTAATTATTAAAATTCAACAGAATATTATCGGACTTCAAATGGTTTTTCTTTATGATCATAAGAGAGTTGCCTATTTTTCGCTAAGAAATCAGAATCATAGAATTAAGTTAGCGGGAGTTAAAAGCAAAGGAGTTAAAGATGGAGTAACAGGAGTTAAAGATAAAGGTGAATCTGAGGGAGATATAACTAAAGTGGGCTAATTAATTAGGTTTCAACTAGAATAATTATATAGAACTATTTCTTGTTAATTAATTCAAAAATTAAATCAAAATTGGGAGAGTAGACTGACTCGGGTTAATTAATCGAGTAAATATGAAATACTCCCTACATTGTTTGAATAACCGGACGAAGTGTTTTTTGTAAAATTAATTCTAATTCAGAACTAGTTCCCATCTGTCCAAAATTGGCGCCTTTTTGATGTGGAAATAAACGTTCGATTAGCTCTGTAAGAATTTTTGCAGAGATTTCAACAGCTTCAGGTTGATTGCTAAAAAGAAAATTTTTAATTAAATATTAATTTAAAGTAAAATATGATAGGGTATAACTTATACATCTACAATAGAGTATAGGTACCGTAATATTGTAAATTACAAAATCAAACAAATGCTACAAAAGGGTGCCGGAATTTTGGTCACCGGAATTTTGGTCACCAAATCAAATAACGGAATATTGGACACTGAAATTTTGGTCACCAAGAGGAATTTTGGTCACCAAACGGAAAAAAATAATCTTATATAAAACTGATATCAAAGTGATAAAAAAATGATTTTTCAACCCCCATTTGATCAATTTCAATGTTGATCACTCTCACAGCTGATCAATCATCAGGAGAGTGATCGAGAGTGATCAACCGAGAGAGTGATCAGCTGTGAGAGTGATCAACATTGAAATTGATCAAATGGGGGTTGAAAAATCATTTTTTATCAGTTTTAGATAAGATTATTTTTTTCCGTTTGGTGACCAAAATTCCTCTTGGTGACCAAAATTTCAGTGTCCAATATTCCGTTATTTGATTTGGTGACCAAAATTCCGCTGGTGACCAAAATTCCAAAAAAATTGGTGACCAAAGTTCCGAAAAATCGTGGTGACCAAAATTCCAGTGACCAGAATTCCGTACACCCTACAAAAACCCCCTATCTGAGAATTTTATTTTGGGTTTTTAAGGGTTTTTTTAACCTATTTGAGAGTTGAGAGGATTATTTTTTCTCCCTCTCTCCCATTTTCAGTTTTCGATTTCGTATACAAAATAATTTTTAGATTTTTCAACCAATTTAAATTATTAACCCTAAAGACTGGCTATTTTCTTCTACAAAAACAGCAGTGATTGAAGCACGTCTTTGTAAAATATTTTTTTGGTTATTTTCTCGATTAATTGAAAGGGGTTGCATTTGAGATAATAATTGGTCTACAAATTGTTCCAAAAGCAAAGAACGGCTTTTAAAATCACTAAAAAGCTAAAAATAAAAAAATTGTTTAAGATAATTTAAATGAAATTTTGTGAAAAATCATAAAGTTCACCTCCGAATTAATAATTGTACCCAAGAAAGGTATCAACTCTTCATAATGGGAAGTAATGCTTGCAGAGACGTTTGAGACTATTATTTTGACAAAACTACAAAATTTATAATTGATAAATTACATATTTGATCAAAACTGAATAATATTTTTATAAGGGAAAAGATAAAATGCTTGAAGAAATTCAAAATTCTTATAAGTATTTTCTCGGTTAATTCCCTGTGGATGGGATGGGGATTTATTCGAGTTTTGACATTTGAACGTGAATTAGGGTATTTGGGAGTGGAGAATTAATGTTCCAATCCTCCGTGACATGGGAAATTAATCGAGAGAGGGGAATTAATCAAGAAAATACGGTATGTTCGTAATTTCTATTTCTTGTAAGCACAAAAATAATCTCATTTTAGTCGTTATAATATTAAAATTACTAAAAGACGGTAATCCCCCTTAAAACTATAAAATATCTCTATTCAAAGGAATCTCACTTTGCTAAATTAATAGATGCACAAATGAAATTCTCAAGGAGTGTGGAGATCAATGGAGGTAAATATTTTAACAAAACATTTCGATGCTGTTTCATCTTTGTTGTTGTTATAACATTAAAATTAGATGAAACTTGAGGATTTTGATAGGTTTCTATTATTGAATTTAAATCTGTATTTTCATCACCGCCAAAAAATTGAATGAGTGTTTTGAGAATTGAATTGATATAATTAATAAATTTTTGTTGATCGTTTGAGTTATCGATGGATTCATCTAATTTTTAATAAAAAAATTTATTTTAATGATAGAAGTATTTCCCTGAATAATTACTCTAGGTTTTTTTCAAATTTTTCAACATCTGGGCCCGTATCACAAGAACTCGGTCACCTGACGATGGTCCATGGTCCATCGTTAAATAAAAAATTAAATTTTCAAGTAACCACAAGGTAGTTTTAACCCGATATCATATGAAAACCACGTGGTAACCACTGTCGTAAGGTCACCTAACCACCAACCACGTTCTTATGATCCCGTTATAAAAATTAAATTTTTATTTAATTACTGTTTTTATTTTTTACATTTAATTTTAAAATAGTTAAAGGAGAAATGCTGCAAGGGGTAATTATAATACAGATGGAATAAATATTTGAAATTCGACATACATATTTTCTGAATTAAAATTAACTTATATATTTTTACCAGAATTATCCACAGGAAGGACATAGTATAATAATTTTGAGTTTTTAGAAGCAATAGCTAATTTTACAATAAATTCCATTGAACGAAACAAACAAATTAAATGTTCATCTTGTTGTTTATTTGTTTGTTTTTCTTCTTCTGTTGTTTCAGGCTTTACAAAAGAAGTAAAAGATGTTGTTTTTAATGTAGTGTTGGAATGAAAAGAAAGATGAGAAGATAAATTAGAAATTGAGGAAGTTGAAGATTTATTATTTAAATTATTGAAGTTTGCTTCGTTTTTTAGACATCTTCGAATATTTAAATTATAGTTATTTTAGATTAAAGAATTGTCTTATACACGTCTGACTTTATAATTTTAGTGTTTCCTCGAAATTCATAAAAATATCACATTTCCGGGACGAGGATTGGGTACTATTAATAGGCAGGTATGAGAGCATATTGGGTTTTCCTGACCGGTAATCTACTTCGTTTGCTCTACCCCCTTCACTCCCCCCCCCCCCCCCCCCCGCCCCCATTTATACTAACTACATATATCAGGTAAAGTTTATCGTCGTTTTTATCAAACATGACAAAACCCTCCTTATTAACTAACCCTTACTGAACAGAGGTAATCGGAAATGGTCGATCGGAAATGAAGAAGGTGTCGGAAATAGGAATCCGAAGTCGAAAATCGGAATTCCGATCAACCTATGTTGCTGACCAAGTTAAAATCACATTAAAATATTTACTATAAACATTCACCTAATAAAATTTTCCAAAAGAAATTCATGTGCTCTAGGCCAAAACATTCTTTGAATATATTCTTCCAATTTTTCTTTTATTAGAGGGCAATCCCCATTATAAGAAAATAAATGGATTAAAGCCTCAAAAACAGGTACTTGTAATTGAAAATATTCATCAGCAATTTGAAATAAAGAATCCAAAAAATTATGACAAAACTTTGTAATTTCGTTCAAATAATTTTTTGAATTTAAATCTGAACGGGAAAATTCTAACAAATATTGTTTTAGAACATTAATTTGTTGGTTTTCTTTGTTACAATAATCACGCCAACGAAGAATCTTTAATTTATATTTTTATTAGGTGAACAGAGAAAAATTTCTAAAAAATTTTTATCTTGCCCATAAGGCTTTAATAAATCTTGATTATACATAGTAGTACATGTCCCCATTTAATTAAACTATGTATTAATTTAAATATAAGGGTTAAATTGTTTAATGAACTGAATTTATAAATATGGATCTTCCTTTGATAAATAGATACCTATATAAAGAAAATTTCTTAAGCAAAAGCTTAAAATTTATTCCCAACCTTGAACTTAAATAAATTTAAGTCATTAAATACCTGAATTAACAATTTATTGTTACAATGTAATTGTGAACAAATAAAAGATTGAAAATGTAAAGTATTTCTTTCACAAAGTATATAACCATTAGAAAACGAATTTTGATTTAATTGTTGTTGAATTAATGTTAAATCCAAAGCTGAAGGTAATGTAGCAACTGAACTTGAACGAGATTTGGAAGAGAATAATGATTGGTCATCACTGCAAAAAATTGGGGGAATAAAAGGGAATGAAGAATATTTTTAAGTTATGCTATCAATCGTTTTATGGATGAATTCCGAAATTCGTCCAGATAGATGGCCCGAACAGTCTAACATTTAAAAATATCTCCTAGTCCTACCTAACATTGCTAGTAATGCCTTGAGCCTCCTTTCTCCTCGACTGATTACTTAAATAAGCAACACTAAGAGGTAGAATTTTAGTTCCATCAGAATTTCCTCCTTTTGTTCGGTCTATCCGGTAAATAAATAATTCATCTTCATCATCATTACAAAGAACATAATTACGGATAAGGTGAAGAAATGCTAGAGCAAAAGGGCCATTAGTATTATTTTCCTTTTTGGGATTTAAGGAGTTTGTAGAATAACTTCCTCCGGTACTGTATAATGATTTTCTATCGATAAATGATTTATTGTAGAATAAAATCTTAAAATTATGGAAAATTAAAAGGAATTTTTAAAATTAGTTTTTTACTTGTAAATGTAAATTCTTTGCTTCTTGATCGGGTAATAAAACTTTAATTAATTCATTAAATCGTGGGCGATCAGTTGAAGGCCAAACACGACAACGGAAACTGCTTTCTCGGATAGCTCCTTCGGGGGTTATGACCTGATATTTTTTGATTTGGAAAGAACATATGTAGAGATTGATTTTGTGTAATAACTTTCTATACCTCAATTGCTTCGGGAAGGAAAATACCCTCGTCATCAACCACAGAAACAACCGCCTTTAATAAATAATTAAATATTAATAAGAGGATAATTAAGTCAACATAAAAAATTTCTAGTAGAGTTTCACCGGAAGTTCCGGTTCCGGAAATTTTGGTTTGGTTCTTTTGGTTTTTTGCGTTTTTTAGGATCCGGTTCCGGTAAAAATTTCGGTTCCAGTAAAAACTAAAATCTAGCCAAGATGCCAAAATATTTTATAATAAAATGTTATATAATGTTAAATGTTATTCAAAAATAACATTTAACAATCATATAAACATGATCATAAAAAACGCATATTTAAAAAGCTCCCAAATAATAAGAATCATTAAATCTAGAAATTTAAATCTCCTCGTTAATATATATAAGACATATATAAGACCCCAACTAGAATACGCAACTGAAGTATGGAATCCACAGATGAAATATCAAATAGAGAAAATTGAAAAAATTCAAAAACTATTCACTAAAAATATTTACAAAAAATGTGGTTTAATCAAGGTCCCATATGAAGAAAGATTAAATACTTGTAAACTCGAAAAGTTAATAGATAGAAGAAAAATTGCCGATCTTTCCACCGCTTTTAAAATTATAAAAGGTTTTACATCCCTTAATTCCCAAAAATATTTTAATTTATCAAATAGATCTCTTCGCAGGCCTCTACTTCTTAGGACAAAAAAATATACAAATAAAACAAAAAATAATTTTTTTCACAGAGTGGTGAATAACTGGAATAATCTTCCAAATGAGCCATATAAAATAAATGATCCGAAAAAATTTAGAAGCTCATTAAAATCTAATAATTAAAGTTAAATAATAAAGACATTGAGCCCTGGCGTGTGTGGTTTTTAGAGTGTTTGTTTACTATTTATATATTTTTTTTTCATTTCATTTTTTTTTTGTTGTTGTCTCACATATTTTCTTTAATTTGTATTTTTATGTTTTTTTTATGCACCACTTTAATGTATTTTAAAATACCTGTGGTTTGCTGATAAATAAATAAATAAATAAATACCCTCCATTTTTAAAAGAATAGAGTCCCCCCCCCGTCTATCGCTTGGGCACTTTTTGTGGGGACAAAACTTTTGATTTATGTCAACTTTGTAATAAAAAATCTTTTTAATTCATCCCCACCATACCTCAATACTTTTTTCAGATCTAGCAATTCCATGAAAATCAGCATCCCTTAACCAAATAAATAATTCATTTCTACAAAAATGTTCATTTTCAAGTTTTAGGGGTCTAAGGATTTGGATGTTTGTTGATGTTGTTATTAAAGAATTAAATTCATTAAAAATTTGTATATTTAATTTAATTGGTATTTTTTCATTTTTAATTGTATTAGTAATTAAGGAAGAATTATTTTGATAATTATTAGAAGGTAAAGCTAAATCTGTTTCCTAAAAGATAAGAGGAATAATAATTACTAGTAGTTAATTTTAAAGAAAAATTTGAGATGTTGTCTAAAGGGGAAGAAACTAAAATTTGTTAAAAATTTCTTTTAAACATAAATTGGGACCAAAACATGGAGTAGCTTTTTTGGAGAAATTTCTAAGGTAAAAAATTAAAAAATTAGTTTTGGGTCCTTGGATGGGAAAACTATGTATACAAGAGGAATATGAGCGAATCCAATCACTGGGTTAGATGGTCACTTCCCATAAGAATCTATTCAATCTTTTCAACAGTACAGACAAAAATGTAACCCTTACAGCCACGATTATAACTAATTTATTTGCTTCCAACCTTCCTTTGAAGTATCAAAGTTTGTTCACGTTGTTCTTTATCAACCATTTCCTTAATTAATTCGCCCAACAAAGTATGACCATTCGCATAATATTGGCGAACGTCATCTCCACCACGGACAGAAACTAAAGGAAAAATAAGGGAGAGAATAAATATAAATTATTTTATAACAAAAAAAGAGTACTTCCAATAGGTCCAATAATTAAACAAGTCATCCATAAAGAAATATTTTCTAAATCAGATTCTGATATTCCAATAAATAAAACTTTATTTTGTTGTTTATTTTTATTTATTTTAGATAAACGAATGGTAAAAGGTTCTGTTATTGGTTGGGTGGTGGCCTGTTAATGAGAATTTTATTTTGGAAATGTTTATTGAAGAGTTTAAGGGAGGGGAGATTGATTATGATTATAAAAAATCAAGAGTTTGGGTTAAACCTCGACGTACCAACTATAATTTAGACATCTTACTAGACAATCCAAAATAAGAAAAAAAAATTATTGTAAAAAATAAAAGTCGAAGATATAACCGATACATCATAAGTGATGGGAAAGTTAAAAATTTCTTTGGAACCGCTTCCAGTTCTGGAGCTGCCTTTTGAATTTCTTCAGTTGCAGTTCCGGAACTGGAACCGATCAGTTCAGAAACTGAAACTCTCCCATCACTGTTCATCGTCACTGCCTATAGAAGGTCACCCTCAATTCAGATATAAAATCCCTCAAATTAACTACTCTGACTATACTACTTGGTAATTAAGGTTGGCGGTTAAGGTTGAAATATGGAACCGAAAATAGTCCGGTTATCCTAATTTTCTGTTTGAATAAAGAAGATTTCCCATATTTTTTATTAAAATCTTATCACAAACTTTAGTATTTCCAGTATTTTTATTTAATTTACTAGATGTTTTCCCCAATCCAAAAATTAATTCAAAATTATTATTAATTTCTTCATTATTTAAATGTTGTTCAATTAATTCATTCAAATTAATATTAATTAATAAAGAATATTTATTTAAATTATTTTTTAATTTTGTTGAAATTTTTGTTAAAAAATTATCCTCCAAAAATGAGTCAATTATTTGTTTAGAATTTTTATTTAAACGTTCCGACATTTGTTCGTGTTTTTTATATGAAGTTATTATTGAAAAATCTGAAAAAATAATTTTTTAATTTTTAATCAAAATTACCATCTAAATTTGCATAAATTCCCGAATCATCCCTTATATTCATATTTAATTTTAATAAATTATTTCCAGCGTCTATTACATCCGCTAATACCTAAAAAATATTTTTTTATATTTAAAAAAGGCTAAATAATTTTTATCTATTAATCATCATTAACTGAATAAAATAAAAAAAATGATTTTTTTAAATATTTTTTTAAAAATGTTTCATTCCATTTACGTAAATATGTAAAGCCTACAAAGCATATTTGATAAATATTTAAAAAATATATTTAGCAAAAAGCAAACGTTTTTTTAATTTATCTTATCTTAATTTATCTTATCTATTTATCTTTCTAGTGTGAATTGCCCCCTTCCTGAGGGGTTTCCTCTCTTTTAGGTTGCCAACATAATTTGTGGGGTTTTAAATAAAATTCAAAAAAAAAAACAAATTTATAAAATTATTTAAAATTATCTAAATACTTATCCAAAATCTCCGACTATTCCCCAACTTTTCCTAATTAATTATTTTTTTAATTAAAACCAAACCAAATTAATTTCTTTAATTTCTTCAGCCGTAATAGTAACAGAACACAAATGCCTTCTAACAACCAATAATTGTTTAATTAAAGCTATTTGTTGTTCGAATTGGCATATAGTTGAAATACCTTCTCCATAATCGAATTTAGTTCTTTCTATCCATTCCTTTAGTTTTTAAAAAAAATTTTTGGAATTTTTTTTTGAATTTTCCATTGTTTTTGTCCTTACATGAGCCTTCTTAGGCTCCTTATATGAGCAGGGTTTATTAATTTTATTAATTATTAGTTTATTAGTTATAAAGTTTTATTAATTACAGGGTTTATTAACCCTTAACTACTACTCCCTCTTCTCAAATTAAAATTTTATTTTTAAAATTTCTTTCACAAAAAACACCTTTAATGCCTCGCTAATATCACAAGCCAACCTTCCAACCTCCTTTTCATCAGTCAAATTTTTATTATTTTTTCCTTCCCCAACATTAAAAAATGTTTGTATTTTATTATTATTATTAATCATTATTTCCTGTACAAAAATTGATGGAAAAATTCCACGTTGTTCAGGTTCTTCCAATCGATAGCCAAAACACCATTCTCCATTAAACGAAATTATTTTGATTAAATCACCAATAAATAAATTTAAAAAATTTATTTTGGAAGAATTTTGTTGAATTTTTATTGCATTTTTTAAATTTTCTTTTAAATTTTTGTTGTCTTCCAAAGATGTGGAGGGTGACGAAAAATTACAAATTACAACATAGATTTTTTGTTCAAATTGGTTTTTAGTGTTGCTTAACATTTTTTCAGAAAATTTTTTTAAATTAAACCCCTTAAAATTATTTTTTTAATTTTTTAAATTATAATTAAAAATATATGTAGGTACAATGTAAATATGTAAAATTATAGATCAACGATAATTTTATTTTATTTTTTTAAATTATTTAGATTTAATTTAAATTTAAGGAAAATAATTTTAAGGATAGAACACATTTAATATTTTGGTGTTTTTAAAAGATTTTTAATTAGATTGCTAATTTAATTTTATTTTTTAATTAATCGAAGAAGATGATTCACTCAATTTTTTATTGTTCCTTAAATCAGAACTGTTGAGTAACGTTAGTGAATAAATACATACGGGATGAGTCTAGGCCGGCCTTACATAAAATAAATATATCCCATTTATAAGAATTCATAAAAATTAAAATCATAATTTAATGAAAGTTTTTACGAAAATTAATTTTTTTAAATCAAAGATTAAATTTTAAAATTTTCAGAAATTACGAAAAATTCCAATTTTTATTTAAATTTGGAAAAAATATTTTTAATTTAAAAAATTATAAGAAGAAAAATAAAAATTTATTTACCTTAATACATAAATATTTACCTACCTAAAAATATTTATAAATCCTCAAATTAATTAATTAAAAACAACTATAAAATTTAATAATAATGACTCATCAATGACTACAACTAATTTAAAAATTAAAAATAATAATAAAATATTTAATAATAAAAAAATATGGTAATTTAAAAATTAATTAAATTAAAATTTAAAATTAAAAAAGGATAATATTTTTGGCTTTATTTCTTCGATTATTTTCATTTAAATATTTAAATGAATTTATTGAACAATTACCAACATTCTCAACTCCGTGGAATAATTTAAAAAGATTAAAGGAAGCTGTCTTCCTTCAAAAATATGGAAATAATATTTATGATGGAGATTTAGTTCATGTGGTGATTTTTTAATTTAAACGAATTTTTTTATTGAATCTGGGTAATTTTTTGCTGAAATTTTATTTGAATTTTTTAAAATTATTTACAGTTTTGTGAAAATTTTAAAAAATTATTTTGACATTTAATTAAGCTTTCTCATAAATAAAAATAATTTTTTAAAGCAGGAAAGACCCCTCCTTGTAAAACTATCCCATTAAAAACTACTCGACAATTTAATTTCAAATAATCCCGACTGGATTTTTAAGCTTAATTAAAAATAAAAAAATTATTTTTAAATCGGTTTTATGTAAAGGGGAAAAAATTATTTTTTATTAAAATTTTAATAAAATTGTTTTAAAAACTAGTTACCAATAATTATTTACACTTTCAAAACTTCTCTTGAACATCCATTTTTGCTAAAACTTCAATGGACGGTTTTCTTAAAATTTAATTAAAATTTAAAAATTAATTTAAAAAAAGATTTTTGATATTTTTTGCGCTTATTTTATTGGGAAATTTGTTGAAGAATATATTTTGAAGAAATGTATTTATTTGGGGTATTCAATAGAAAATTCTTTGGAAAAATCTCAATCCTTTGGTTTAATTGCATTTTCGAGGTTTTATTTTTTAAATCTAAGAAAAATTTAATTTTAATTTGGTGAAATTGTTTTAAATAAAAATTTCATTTTTATTTAACTAAAAAATTAAAGTTAAAAAATTTTTCTGTGCGTAAAATAAAATAACTCCGATTTCGAAATAGAAAAATAACCAAAACGGATAATTCTTTATTATATACACAACACTAACAAATAAGAAAATTTTTGAGCTAAAAGAGCTTATTCGAATGATATGAACTTCTCCCATGTCAGACATATATCGCTTAATTCAGACGACTTTTGGTCAAAAAAATGTTGTCTGAAATTTGGGAAAAATACTCAAATTAATTTATAAAATTTAGAGAAAATTTTTGACCAAAAATTTTCTTATAGTGTTGGGAATCAAAAAAAAAGAATTATCAGTTTCCTTTAAATTTGAAGAAAGTTATGCCAAAAACAAAAGGGGCTTTACTAAAATTATTTGCATTTGTAATTCTCTCAAAATAAAATTAAAATTTATTTTTTTAAAGTTATTTATTAAATCCAATGACCATAGGATGTTGGACAATTTCGAATCTTTCTTCTTTGATTAATTTATTTGTTTCATTAATTCTTTATTATTTTAATAAAGGTTTATTTTATTTAAATTTAAAATTAATTAACCTTTAAAGATTATTTATTTATTTCAATTTTCACAATTTGTTTAACAATCCAATTAAATCCTTATTATTTACTTTTATTGGCACCTTTAATTCTGCATTTTAATCAACGAAAATTTTCTCTAATTTTTATTTTTGTTACATCTTCAATTTTATTTTTATGTTTAAATTTATATTTGGAAGAGAATTGGAAAGATATGTTTAGAAATACTTTTGGATTTTTGTTAGTTTATTTATTTTATTAATTTTTTATTATCCCGTTCTAGAATTTTTGGGGAAATTTTTTTCTATTTTTGATTTTGTATATTAAATTATTTGCAAAATGGGAAAATTTGTTAAAAAGTAGGCTAAAAACTTTCAATTTTCAAAAGACTTCAAAAAATTTTTTTAATCTAAATATTTAAAATAAACAATTATTTTCAGTTTAACTGTTCCCGATTTGACACCAAATGTTGGAATTTTTTGGTATTTCTTCACTCAGGTTGAAAAATAATCTTAAATGACAGCCAAAATTAATTTTAATATTTTTGTGGAGATATTTTAAATTTTATTTTTATTTATATAAAGTAGGGTTGGACAAAACCGTTTAGCTAAACGGTAGACGGTATACGATAAACGGGTTTTTTGGTAAAGTTAAACGGTTTTGTCTAACCCTAATGAAAATATTAAAAAATAAATTTAAAATTTTTTAAAAATATTTTTAAAGGTTTTCGACCATTATCGTTCATTATTCCTTTGTGTATTTCAATTAAATACAATTTTATATGTTGTACCTATAACTGTTTTGTTAAGGTAATTTTTAGTTAAAATAATTTTGAAAAAAAGAAATAATTATTTTTAGAAATAATCTTAATTTATTATTTTCAATTTTATTAATTGTTGTTGCTATATTTTCCCCATATCCTTCATATGCGGAGACTGCACTTTATTTGCCTGTACTTGTTGCATTTATTGACTTACATAAATGTTTGTAATTTTGATATAATTGAGATTTTCAGAAAAATATTTAAAAGCTAGGATTGGCACCCAGAATCTCCCAATTTACTCCCCTTAAGGAATTTGAAAATTATAAAACACTTTCTGGATTTGGAAATTATGTTTAGAAGTTTCTTGAATAATAAGTTGTTAGCAGTGCTTATAAATTTTAATTTTGGTCTCGCACTCAGGATGGCCTTTTCCAAATCACCAAAAGGAGGCACAGCTTCCCAAAAAGGGGCGAAATCGGCCAAAAACGGGGCAAATGCCACCCAAATGAGGCAAAAGAACCACACTGCTAGCACTAGTATTTGGTACCATAGTACGAGTACGAATTTTGGTACAAGGTATAAGCTATGGTTGTTAGGTTAATTTTGGCTCAATTGGTTAATTTTGGCTCTGTTAATTATTAAAATTTAAAAATTTTGAACCAAACTTTCCTATAATTAATTTAAAAAATAAAAAATTCCCCCCACAGATCTTCGCCAAAGTTTAGTAACTGGCTGTACAGTTTTGGCAACATTTATACTTTCCCCTATTATGTGGAGTATGTGGGTACATATCGGATCTGGAAATGCCAATTTTTTCTTTGCCATTGTTTGGGTATTTGCTATTGCACAAGTTGGAAGATTTTTTAAAAATAAAAGAAAATTTTCCTTTAAAAATCAGATTTTTATTGCTGCTGATTTAATAAGCTCATTTTTGCGTGCTGAAATTGTTGAGGATAATGGAGGGGAAGAAGAGATTGAAAAAAGATTTGAAGGAATTAAACTTTTAAATATTTGTCCATTTACTATATCTTTATAAATATTAGAAAATTTTCTTTTAAAAATCAGAAAAAAATTCCATTAGTCTGAGTTCCTAATAGTTAAGGAACTCAGACTAATGGAAATAAGGTCTATGAAATTTTTATGAATTTTTATTTAATTCTAATATTCGAAAGAAAAAAATCATATATAAATTATAGGTAGTGGGGGATATAACTAGTATTACCTAAAAAACTGCTGTCAGTTAATAATAATAAAACGACTGTCAGACTAATGGAAATAAGAAAAATAGATTTTGGCTTAAACAAAATGAATTATAACCATCACAGGTATAGTGTCCACTAGATAAATAAAAAAAAAAGTTCAAATAAGAATTCCAAATTTAATAAAGAATTCTAAATTAAAAATTTTGAAGATAATAATAATTTTTATTTTATTCCTAAATTAATAAGTGTATAAATTTAATTCAAATCAAAAACTGTCAATTATAGGTTTCGGTCTTCCACTAAAATAAATCTTCCTTCTAATGATTGCAACAACATCACAAGACTTTTTCTCTCCTTTTGAAGCATTTCCAGGCTTAAAAAATAAAATTTTTATATCTCCCTGCTACGTATCTCCCTCCCATTTTATTTCACTATCTAAGGGAGAAAATTCTTTAAAAATTAATCCTATACTTTTTCTTTTCGTTGAGAAGCTCGATTAATTACTAAAAAAGGTTTTTCCAATTCCACACATTCCCCCTGCAATAATTGACGGCCAATAATTGTTTTGACATATTCCTTCCCGTCATCTTTCTTTTCCCACAATAATTTTCCAAAATTCTGACCATCAACTTGGTCATTAATTGTAAGAGTTCCCGGTAATTCCATCATTATCCACTCTGTAATTCCATTCCTTAAAGTAATTTTTGTTGAAATTTTGAGAAATTTTTGTTAAATTTACTCGTTTTTTACTAATTGAATTTGCATAGTTTTTGTTGATGAAATAAATAAATAGAAGTAATTATTCTTGAAAATAATTATGTATCTGTAACATTAAAATAAAAGTATGTGATGCAGATCCAGTATTTGTCACAAAGGCTTTAAATTTTCCCCAATTTTGTAAATTCTTCATTTACTTAACAATAAGAAGTGTTGTTTAAACAAGAGGGAGGTTGTTTCCAACAGACTCCACTTAATAATAAGATCGAAAAACACCCATAAAAATCCACCAAAACCGCTTGTTTCAACAAGCGAAATTCTTCAACTAAATAGACAAAATTGTTCACATTTTTCTTTTATATATTTTTATACTTTGCGACAAAATGGCTCGCGACAAAATGTCCCAAATTTTTTGTCAATTTAATTTTTCGTAAAATTTCTTGTTTTCCTTTTTAATTTCTTAACTTTTAATCTTTTTGATTTTTAAGTGTTCTAATAAATATTAAATGGCGGAAGGAAATTCTTTGTACGATGAGGTTTTAATTCAATTTTATTTAAAAAATTTAAAATTTAGATTGGCTCTGAAATTAATGAAGCTCTCCAAATGTCTGGGAAATCTTTAGAAGAGCGTTATATGCATTTGGCTAGAGCCGAAGAAATGATTTTAAAACAAGACAATTCTTCAGTTCTCGACAATTTTTTGGATGAAATGGTTCAATTTATTCATGAAAAGGAACAGAAAATTCGTTGTTTTGCTATTACTTTTATTGAAAAGGCTTGGTATGTTCTTTATTTTTGTTTAGAATTTTTTATCTCCATTTTCTCTTGTAGTTTTCCACATTTTTGTTCACTACCCGGTAATTCTTGGGCTCGTACCCCTTCTTTTTTTTCTTTTTTCTGCCCATTTTTTCATTTTTCCTTCCGTTTCTCCCTTATTTTTCATGAGTATCGAAGAGGATTATGTAACAACACTTATACATACCGAACATATATTTCTGAATTTCATTGGCGAAAACCTGTTGAAAAATACTAATAATACTTTTTGATACTTGTCTCTTCAAAAATACGGGAGAAAGGAATGAAAAATGAAAAGAAAACGTGAAGGAAAAATGAAAAAGTCGTCCGAAAAAAGTGGAGGGCAGGTACAACTGAGGGAGGCAGGTACACTAGCCTCTACTTTCTCGACATTAGATTAAATAAATTAAATTCAAATTTAAGTAAAAAAGACCCTGAAGTTTTTAAAAGAGCAATAGCAACACTTAGTTGGGCATTGACTGATCAGTCTGGAGGTGTTATTATACAGAAAAAGGTTTGGATTTATTTTAAAAACTCAAAAAAAAATTAATTTAAAGGCAATAAATACGTGTACCCAACTTTATCCTGTTCTTCTCCGCTGGGCCTCACAAAAACGTTCAACAGATGATGAAGCAAAAAATTGTTGGGAAACATTTTCGATGCTTAAAAATAAAATAATGCAAACTGTTGACTCTGAAAATGAAGGAATAAAAACTATGGCCTTTAAATTTCTTGAAATGCTCATAATTTGTCAATTGCCTAAAACTGAAGTATGTCGAGGGGGGTTTTATTTTAAATCATTCAAGGAACCATATCGAACTGTCAAGAAAAATTTTTTAATTTAATTCACACCATCGTGTAGAGCAGAGTCGACTTCCTATTGCTAATTTTTTTCTTTTCCGGCCCTACCCCAAAATTGCAATGTTATAGGGCTTCAACCGCTTTAAAGTCTAAAACTTTGAAGCCCTATAACTTTTCGATTTGGTGGGTAGGGCCGGAAAAGAAAAATTAGCAATAGGAAGTCAACCCTGCTCTACACGATTGTGTAAATTAAATTCAAAAATTTTTTCCTGACAGTTCGATATTGTTGTCAGATGTCGCTTAAATTTATTTTTCAACCCTTCTGTTTAATTAATGTATTTATAGAGGTTTATTCCTTAAAGATTTCATTTTTGTCCATTGAGACACACTAAAATAACTCTGCTTACATAAGTCTACATTTTCTTTTAATTGCTTTTTTGATCAACAAAAATTAGAAATTGCTAACTTAAATTAATTTTAGTTCAGTGAAACTCCAAGAACATCCAATCAACAAATTAGTTTGGACGAAATTGGGCGTGATTCATTCATTTCTTGGCGCCAATTACAATCAGAAGCAATTAAAAGTTTTAATTCATTAATTGAACATATGGCTTCTACTCACATTACTTCACTTAATTTAGTTACAGCAATATCCTCAACTTGTAATATAGCAAGGCAAAGACCTGAAAAAATGGCTGATGTAATTTTTTCTTTTTTAAATTTTATAAAAATTATTTTCAGGTTGTCAGCGCTTTAGAACAACTTCATCTAAATTTACCTCCAACATTGGGAACTAGTCAAGTTAAAAGTGTGAGAAAAGAACTTAAAATGCATTTATTGAGAATGATGAAGCATCCTGGAAGTTTTACTTTACATAATTTACATGCAAGAATGAAGCAACTTTTGATAGGTTTGATTAGATTTGAGATTTAGTAGTGGATAGATTAATTGGTTGGGGTTTCCATTTTCTTTTCTTGATACGGTTCTATTTAATTATGGTACGGCTTATGTTAGAAGAGCTGTCAGTGTTCGGAAATAAATTTTTTTATTTAAAAAAATTTCCTTAAAATTTTGGCTGATATTATCCACATATTTAGCCTGAATTTTATTGTTAATTTATTTTATTCTTTTTTGGCATTATAAAGCTTTTTATTCTTTTTATAGAATTAGGCGCAACTCCATCAGAAATTCAAAAAGCAATGCCTGGTCCAAACGAAATTGATGCAGCTCTAAAAAGAAGACTTGCAGCTGCAACAGCAGCTAGAAAACTACAACAAACTGAATCTGGAACAGATGAGAAACCATCTAGAAAAAAGCCGCATAGCGGTGAAAAGTTGTCAGATTCGCTTCAAGATGAGGATTTGGATTTGAGGGATACAAAGAGACTCAAGGTTTTTAAATAATTTTTCTTATTTATTTTGAAAGTTTATTTAGTTGGGAGAGGATGAAGATTATGATGATGGAACTATTGATCTTTATAGACAATTGGATGACCCTGATTCTGCCAGTGCTGCTACTCAAAAGGCTATTGACATAACTACAGAATTTGTATTGGAAAGGCTGTCGATTTCTGTTGTTAGTTATTTTAAATATTAAAATTTGGAAAGAAAATGATTTTTTAATTGGGATTCTCAATTTATAACAAAATTTCGTTCTTTTCTTGTTTAACTGGGTTTCCTCTTTTCCTGTTTATGGTGACTGCTGATAGGCTTCTAATCCTTTATCTTTCGGTTAGTCTAGGATTTTTACACAAATTAATTTTTTGTACTCATAAAAGGTCTCCAAGCTTGTGATAATTAGCCTTTACACCCTTCCTGACGAAATGCCTCCAGCGTTTGCTAGCAGCTATACTCCAATAGATGAAGTTGGAAGTGAGGCACAAAAGCGTCATCTTGCAAGAATGATGGCTATTCAGATGACTAGAGAAGGAGAGGGGCCGGGTGTTGAATATATTAAAGCAGAAAAACAAAAACAATTTGTTGAAAAACAATCGGCTGCTAGGTCGTCTGAAGTTATTGATAAGGAGAAGTCCAATGATGAAACTAAAAAGGTTATCGATGAGGGAACTACATCTTCACTCGTACAAACTGCTCAGGTTTTGGATTTTACTCAACTATTTTTCCTCGTTTTTATGAGAATTAGGGTTGTGGTTTTCGAGTCAGGCCGACGTTCGAGTCGTTTTTTGGGCCAGTTCTACCAAGTCTTTTTGGGGCTCCACCGGACCGGTCACCCAACTTTAATGAGAATACAAGAGAATCATGAACCTTGTGAATAGGTACATGTCAGACTTTCTTACTGTCATAGTTAAGATTATGAAACGCCCATTTTAGCGCCTCATAAAAGGCGAGAGAGAATAGGCCAAATTAACTTATTCACTCACTCATAAAAGTTTTGGGCCCGATCAAAAGTTGGCCTGTCCTCTCGCCTTTTATTTATTAATTATATTTGTTGAATAAAAAGGTTAAAAAGAAGGCCTTCGTTTTTAATAGGTGGATCGGCGCGCCCCAAGGGTGGGTTACCACTCTTGGGGCCCAACGCCGACTAACCCCCTGAAGAAAGGGGTTAGGGATATATAAGATGGCGCTCCTGTAATTTTCTCCACCTAATGGAAAAATCCCTACTCCACCCAAAAAAAATATTGCTAAAAATATTCCAAAAATATTTATTTAAAAAATTATTTCTTCTACCCATCAATCAACTTAATTTTGACGAGCGGAAAAATATTTCTTATTTATTAAACTAGTTTTTTCGGACTTCTTCTTTTGCAGCAACGCACAAATTGGCCGGAAGTGGACAAATAAGAAAGAGTTTGGGTAACGCCAAAAATTTTTTATCACAAGAATTACAACTATTTCTTGTGACATTACAACAAGAAATTTTGCGCGAACAAGTTTTGGGCGTAGCCAAAGTAAAGGGAGAAGTTAATATAAAAAGGAGTTTTTAATCAGCCAATTTGGCTCACATTGATAACTGAAGAGCTGAACAGGAGCGAGGGAATTTTCGACAAACGGATTCATTCATCAAGGATACACGGATTTTTCACAGAGGGATTCATTCAAAGGATACACAGAGGGAACAAACGAAGCACAAGGAAAATAAACACATAACGGATATTCTGAGGATATTATCGATAAAGAGAAGGAAAAGGCTAAAGCGAAGGAGTTCAATTGGAGCGGAAAATTTTAGTTTGGAGTTGATTGTTAAGTCCGAAGCATTTGAAGGGAGAGAAGGATAAAGTTTGGAAGGATAAAAGACACTTATTCGCGGATTTTGGAAACTTCTGGATTTAATCTCTTGAATCAGGCCTCTTGTAGAATTTATAGCCAGTCTTGGAATAAAAGCTTAAAAAACGTGCACGTGGAAAAAACAAATTGAGAAATAAGAGCTCGAACATTTTCCTAACAGATCAGGGGTGATTACTGCAGAATCACTTCTGGTTCCCGTTACTGTGGGCAAAAAGCTAGCTAAAAGAGGAGATATTATTTGAAGTGTTAGGAAAAGTCGAGCATTGGAATAAAATAGAAAAAATTATAAAATAAATCAAGTCCGGACAAAGGCTGACTAAAGAATTAATAGAGGCTTATGATGAAAGAAGAGGATATTTCAGGATTGGAAGGGGACAATACAAAGGATAGAGGGGATAATATTGGTACGAGCTCAAGTGGACTTCCATACCCTACCTTCTTTAATGGCAATGGAGATTTTTTGAGTTATCTAAGTACTTTCAACCGAATAGCAACGGCACACAATTGGACTCCCGCGAGATGTAGCCAGATATTACCACTGTATCTACAAGGGTCTGCACTCGCGATTTACGAATCAATGCCCGTGGATGAAAAATCGCGGTGGAAGACACTTGTAGAAAAATTGGCAGAGAGGCTAAGCAAGATATCAAATAAGGAAAGCGCACGCAAAAAATTGGTGGAAAGGAGACAGGAAATGGGCGAAGGATTAGAAGAATTTTCAAGGGATTTGATGAATCTAGTAGAAGCGGCTTATCCTGAAAATGCGTTTGGAATGGACCTTGCTTCACTTAAATTAAATGACGAACAAATGACAGGCTTGAAGGGGGAAAATGAAAAAATGGTCAAAAGGTTTAAAGAGGAGATTTGTATGGAGAGATTTAAAGCCGGGCTGTTACCAGAACTTAGGGAAAAGATTATTTTTATGAAAGCGCCCTCTTCATTGGCAGAAGCAATAGCGCAGGCAAAAAGGGTTGATGAATTAAATCGGACAATTAAAGATGAGACGAGAAAAAGACTGGAGAAAATAGAAGTTAAGGCGGCGCTAGCGGAGGTTAATGAAGTCAGGGATACATACCAAAACTATGACCAATATTACTATGAGGAGCAATTCCAGGAGTCTAACGGATGTAATGAGAACGGGGATGATGAAAAGATGGACCCAAATGTTGACCCATACTATGCCAATGCCCAATATTATGATGATGAAGGCCAATGGTTTCCACATGAGAGTAATGAGGACTGGGGAGAGGAATATTGTCAGGATCAAGGATATCAGAACTGGCCCACGGACGGAACAGATTTTCAGGAGTATTAAAAAAACATTTGGCGACGGGATTCATTTTTCGAAATAAACTTATTTGCTGACCCCCCAGGAGAGGAAGAGAAAGCGGATTTTGGCATTTATTGTTTGACATTTACTTGGATTGGCGCTCCATTGACATATACAATTTTTTTCCGTTTTCGCCAGAATTTTCTTATTTTACTATTACTGATCCAATACATACATGTGCAGGAATTTGTTGAATTGAAATTACGTTTAGCGCGGGATAGATTTGATTACTAAAAGAATAGAAGCAAAGAATGGGGATGACAAAATATTATTGAGAAGCACAGTGGGCCAGAAAGAAACGGCACATACAAAAAGATAGATTATTCAGATAAAGAAAACAGAATTTCATTTCACATTTTCCGCACTTTTATTTATCCGCTTTTTCTGTTGTATCCCCTACCCCCGCGTATAGAATGTCATAGTTAAGATTATGAAACGCCCATTTTAGCGCCTCATAAAAGGCGAGAGAGAATAGGCCAAATTAACTTATTCACTCACTCATAAAAGTTTTGGGCCCGATCAAAAGTTGGCCTGTCCTCTCGCCTTTTATTTATTAATTATATTTGTTGAATAAAAAGGTTAAAAAGAAGGCCTTCGTTTTTAATAGGTGGATCGGCGCGCCCCAAGGGTGGGTTACCACTCTTGGGGCCCAACGCCGACTAACCCCCTGAAGAAAGGGGTTAGGGATATATAAGACTTACATTATTTTCTGTTGTTTGAGATTTTTTGAGAATTCTCTACTTATTGTTAACTTAAACTCAAAAATACTTTTCAGCCTCCAACAACTCAAAAAACTCGAATTCAAAACTGGACTCTTTTCAACGCTACAAGGGAACTCTTTCACAAAGAATCGGAGCAACTACAACTTGATATTTTTCAAAGGATACTTGGAAATGAGAAAAGAGCTGTACAAGGCGGGGCTGGTTTAGCTCAACAAAAATTACTAATTAGATTGTGTACACGCTTTCGATCCGCCTTAACTTCTGAATTGGAAGCTACTCTACTTAATTATGTTATTGAAGAACAAAAAACACGTGTTGATTTGGCACTTCTTCATTTAGCCGAATTATATGCTCAAATGATGGGGTTGATATTTTTTTAAATTTTAAACTTATTTTTCAAGATATTCCACTTTGGTTTCTCCCAAAGCTTTTAATCAATTGACGAATGAAGAAAAAAAGCAACGCTATGATACGTACTTGTGTACATTGCTTTCGACACTTCATGAGAGAGGAGAACACAAGGAAACGTTAGTTTATTTGGTATTTTCTGACCATTCCCGTACTCTACTTATAATGTTATGTTTATTTAAGAAAATTCTTTTAAGAACTAAAGAGAAATAAGTTTTGGGGATAATTGGATTTATTTTTAATATGTGAAGTTTGGTGAACTCATAATTATTCTTTCCTTGACAATGGGAGCCATTATGATTTCTTGTGGATCATATAATTTTTTGTTCCATTAATTTTCTTTTTATTTCAGTCTTTTCCACCGAATTTTCCTCGAGGCACCTTTTTTAACATCTGGTTCATTGAAAATCCTCAGGAAGGCTTGTCTCGACAAAGTATACGGCGCTTTTGCAATTACTACTCTTCGTGAGCTAATTTTGACTCGAGCAAGACAACGACAGGAATTACTCCGATTACTCATAGAATTTAGTTATTTTGAACGTGTTGATATTCGAGAGCATGTAAAAAATTTTTATAAAAAATTTATTTTTAATTTCTCTTATTTTCATGAAATTTTCTTTTGGTTATTTCGATCTTAAATCGTGCCACCGGGATTCATAAATTCCCCATAATAGAAATACCTATTTCTAAAAGAATTCTTTATATATTACCTATTTTTTATTTTTTAGTGTGTAAAAACAATCAAAGAACTTTATCAGCTTGATTTTCTGCGTTCTGATGTCCGTGGATTTTTAGTTGAAATGTCGGAATTACTTGTTGCACCAACAGCTCCCAGGGTTATTTGGCATGCGAATGGACGTTTGGCTAGAGAACTTGAGGAAATAATTGATGAAATGCCTTGGGATGAATCCCTCATTAGGGCTGGACTCTTCCTGTTTTTGTCATTGTTACCGCAAGAGCCTTCTTTATTGAAGCAATTGGCTTCGGTTTACGCGAGAGCAGGAACGGAGATTAAACGGGTATATTTAATCTTTATATTTTAGAACTAAAATCCTATGATTCTGATCTATAAAAATAACGAATTAAGATTCTGTGAAAGTTTTGATGTTTTTTATTGTAAGGAAGAGAAAGATCCAGCTGGCTAGCATTTAAAACGCTCACTAACAAATAAGCGGGGGTTTAAGATCTATTAAAAGAGAAGGTGAAAGCAGCGTCCCGGTAGCAGTTGGTAGAGCACCTGTACATGGTGAGCGAAAGCGTTTAGCTTGAAATAACTGCCAGGAGGTCGCAGCCTGCCTGGGATTAAACTTTTACCTCGCGCTTACTATGTTTTAATTTTTAAGGTAACCTTTCGCAGTATAGAACAAGCCATCAAATCAATAGGGATGCATTCAGAAGATCTTTTAGATATGATTGAAAATTGTCAACCTGATGCTGAAACTTTGGTTGCTCGGATTGTTCACTTGGTTTTTTAAAAAAATTAATAAAGGAATTTTTCATTTTTTCAAAGTTAACTGAAAGAAATGCCCCAACACCAGCACTCGTTGATCGTGTTCGAAAATTACACCAAGCAAGGAATACTGATGTCAGATCATTAATTCCAATTTTGAATAGTTTAAAAAAGGTTTCTTTATTAAGAATGAAGGTCTAATTTGGAAAAAAATTTTTTAGGAAGAACTTATAGAATTAATCCCATGTTTTGTTCTCTCTGCTAAAAATAGCAATTCTGTTCCTATATTTTTCAAAAAACTTCTTTTTGGACGACACACAGATACAAATCAAGCTGTTTTGAGCCCGTTTGAGTTATTGCTTGAATTACACAGACTTAAGGCAAATAGGAAAGAGCAAGGATTTCTAATGCAAAGTTTGGAGTTTTTTTAGATTTTGTTAAGTTACTAACTTTAATTTTAGATCTTGATATTCTATTAGTTGACACTGCCCGTGAATTTTCTTTTGGTAAAGATGTTTTGGCTATTGCAATAGAAACACTTATAAACGACAAAGTTTTCCCTGTTATTCTCTTCTATACAATTCAAAAAGTGAACGAAGCACAGCCTACTTTAAATGGATTTTTAACTGGTTTATTAGAAAAGATTGCACAGCGAAAGCCGTGGACTGAGATTGAGGGGGATGATACTGCTAGAGAAACTATTTGGCATAAATTTGAAATTTGTTCAAAAGCTTTAGGATCAAATGTGCACACTGTGAGATTGATTTTTTTTAGAAAATTTTATTTTAGCTAGAGGTCGGTAAAATCGCATTTCTAGGATCCTGTAACGGAATTCTTTTCAAGAATTTTACGTTACAGGATCCCGCGGGATTTATCCCGTTCGTCGCTTAAAATACGGGATTTCGGGACAGAATCCCGTAAAATCCCGTACGGGATCCTGTCCAGTGCCGACCTCTAATTTTAGCCTTACTGTATCAATTTATATTTGTTTCTTTTGTCTTTATGCTTCTCAAATTTTGAGTTATTCTTTATTCATTACTTTCCGACTCATAAACATTCTATAAGTTAAAATTACTATTTTTGATTCCACCTACTAATTTGAATTTTTACCTTGTTAATTAAAAATTTATATCAATTTTTATCTTAATTAATTCAGAAAATTAACAATTTAATTTTTAGCGTTTTCCCCACCTAACATCATTACAACCTGAAATAAATGTTGATATTCCCACTTCTGTTATTGATAAATTAAAATCAACAGAAGAAAAAGAAATTTCAATGGAAGAAGATAAGCCTTTATTAAATGAACAAATAACCATGGAAAATTAAGAAGCTAACCTTGAAAGTTCTCTAAAAATTTCTTTTGATCTCTATTTGATTTTTTTGTTTAAATTTATTTTTTTGTTAAATTTGTATTTTTTTATAAATTTTCTTTATTTCATTCGTTTGTAATTTTACAAATTTAAATATTTTCTAATTAATATCCACATATTTAGCTTTTTAGAAAAGAGAATGGTTGTGTATCAAGTATGGCAAACAATTAAATCACAACATTTAAAAAAACCTAAACTTTTTACTTTTGCAGGTTTTTAATTTTTGTAATTTTCTCCTTTTTAAACAATTAACTTTTGCAGCGATTTTTGATGTTTCTGCTTTAGCTGGAGGTTATTGGATTTGGAAACAATTGCGCCATAATGAAGAAAATCGTTTTTATTGTTTTGAAAATTATCCTAGAGTTTTGGGAGTTTATTATTGGGGTTTAAATGTCCTTTCGTTTGGAGAGCGTTTGGGTGATAAACAACAAGACTATGATATTGCAAAGTGGATTTATAGAGATGTACAAGATGGAAAAGTTAAAATTTTTAGAATAAAATATCTCCAATTATTGCTATAGTAAAGCAACTGGGCTATAACTATTTCTGTCCTTTAGCTAGTGCAAAAGTTTAATCGGCGGCTGGGTGCGAACGAGATCTTCAGTAGACCAGACCGATGTGTTATCCATTATACCCACGCCGCCTACTGCACGGCCTTAGGAATTAAATAGCTGTATGCTTTACACTATTAACAAAATTATTTTTGGGTTAAATTTGTAGAATACTATGTATATTTTATATTTAGTTTGGACTCAATACAAAAAATATTTAAGTTCCGTGGGGGCTCGCAGTATTATTGAAATATTTTTTAAAATTTATTCCAGTTCAAGAATGATATTTTTCGTTTTGTGATCTTAAGTTAGAAATTTAAATAAAAATTTAGAAAAAAAGGTCTTAGGGAAAAGGGTCTGTTTTTCGTCCTTTTAGTATTATTTTTTCCAATTTTCCCCTATTGTATTAAATCCCTCAAAACTAAGCTTAAGTGAGATTTTCCATTCCATTTTTAATTCCGAGTTCCAAAAAAATTTAAATTATTTCTAATATTTTTACTTTAACTTTTTTTAGCTGGAACACTTTTATCTGATATATGGGAAGAAGAAAATGAAAAACCTGTTGAGAAAGTTAAAAGGCCTAGACTGAAAAGATAAATTTATTTAATTTTCATTCGAAAATATTTAGCTATATTTTGTTTACATTTTTTAGTTTATGTTTAATTTAAATCTTATGTTAAATGATTATTTTTTAAGGCTTAAATCCTAAAAAATATTTTTTAATTTTTAAATTAATTCTTTTAGATTTTATTTTCAAAAATTAAGGTGAAAGGTTGTCTAGAAGAAGTTGACCTACTTTTTATGTTCATAGTTGGAGGTTGTAATACTTTTTTTTATTGGAACCCAGAATTCTTTTTTCAAAATTTAGTTACTGGTTTAAGAATAGGCTAGGGATGGAAGGAGAGATTTAGTGTTGTGTACGTGATTTGTATGTCTACGTCCTAACAAGAATAACAAGATAAGACAGTAACTAACAACTTTACAAGACTAAATACAATAGTAGTGAACAATAGGAATATGGCTGATGCCGAATATGTGGAGCACTAAAATAAGACCGACTGAATAGAATAACAACTAAGAATAACACTAACGAACACTAACACACGAATGGCCAAAGCCGCTGCCTTTTATACTAAGCACAGACCCAACATTTAGTGCCGCTCCCTATTTTTATTTTCGGTTAATAAGGACTCCATTACATTTTTAATATTTTCAGAATCAAAAAATGGTAACTGAAGGGCACATGCGAATGTTTTCTAGTCTACTTGCTGCATGCGGCTTTATTTACACAGTCAATTATTTAATTAAATTAGACAATAGAAGTATAGAAACAGACCCTATTCCAGCTGCTTCCTGGAAATCTTATGTTGAAATTATGAAAAAAATGGGGAAAGAACCTTAAAATAATTTACAAATTTGTTTAAAATTGTTTAGATTAATAAATTTTTTGGATTAAAAAATTTTTTTCTTGGAATTTCCGATTTAAATATTCGGAAAAATATTTTATACAATTCTTCAATTTTTATTTAATTGAAAGTTTAGTTAATGGAAAATTCAAATGAAAATGACACAGAAAATGATGGGGTATGATATTTAAATTTAATTAAAAAATATTAATTTTTTATCATGAGATTATTATTTATTGGAAAATTTTTTAGATTAAATTTTAAACCCTCTCCGGTCAATATCAAGTACCGAAAATGCTCGAATAATGACCATGGGTAATTATTGTTTCGACCTTTCGCTGGAGGAGTCAATCGAGAGAAGGTGCTAAATTTGCGGTATATCTCAATAGATCGAGGAGGAAATCGATTTATTTTTTGATATAATATGTCTTAAAAAGTTTCAATAGTTAAAAATGACAATGATTTTTTCAATATTTTTAAAATTAGAGAAGGAAAAAGAAGGGGATAATTACTTAAGAGGGGGTAATTATTCGAGCATTTACGGTATTCACATTGATGACTAGGAAAGCCTCAATTTTTGAGCAAGTCACATTCCAAATTTTAATTTCCAATATTTTCTCAGCCTCAAAATTTAAAAATTTTTTTTTTTAAATTTTAAGACGGAAAGAAGAAAAATATCAATACTCGATTTGGAATTAATTGCTCCAAACAAACAAATTATTAAACAATTAATTTTATTAAATTCTATTGCTTTACCAATCAATTTTGGGGATATAAATTCCTTGCATTATAAACAAGTTCTTAAAAATGAATTGGCAATTAAAGGAGTGGAAAGTGTAGATGATGAAGATGAACGTAGGAAAATTGTTTTTTTTTCGAGAGGGATTTTTTCAGAAAATTTTGGGGTAAAAGTAGGGTTGCCAAAATGGACCGATTCGGACCGAAAGATGGAGTCGGGCCTAAGATATTTGACCCGAAAAAGATTCGTACGGCCCGGCTCGATAAAAATCAGGCCCGAAAAAGGTGTCTAGACCCCCGGCCCGACTCGAAAATGGTAACCCTAATTAGAAGGATAGTTTATATATTTTTGGGGGACGCTAACTGTCCAGGAAGGATCTTTTAATTTTAAAATCTTGCTTTATGTTTTGTGAAAATTTTAGTTTCCGGGAATACCATTTTTGGGTGTTTCTTGATGTATTTTATGGATTTTTAAAAATTAATTTTTATTTGTCTGTCCAAATAAAAACTTTTTTAGGATTAATTTATTTTAAATTTCTTTAATTAATTTTCCCTCTTTTTCAAGTTAAAACAAAATATTGGACAATAATGGCATATTATAAAAATGCTTTAGTTGGTGCAATTACTGTTTGTATAGAAACAATTTATTCTCAAAAGGAAAATTCTAAAAAATGTTTATATATTCTTACTTTAGCGTAAGGGGAAAATCATTAAAAAATTTAAATAATTTTTTTCAGTGTTATCCCTTCTTTTCGTCGTCGTGGTGTAGCAAGTATTCTCGTTTTGGATACAATTAATTATTTCAAACACAAATGGAAAAATATTAAAGTAGTTTCTGAGACCTTTTTTTGATTAAAAAAAAAAGAAAAAATTCCTTAAATAATTACTTTACCTCCTTTAATTACCCCCATCCAGCGATGGATTGAAACAATAATTACACCCCCAATAAATACCCTAAAACACGTTCAAATTTCAAAACTCGAGTAATTACCCTCTCTCAATTAATTACTCTCTCCAGCGGAAGGTCAAAAGAATAATTACCAGGGTAGTTATTAAAGGATATACTGTATTTTCCTCATTTTCTCCCTAAAAATTTGTTTTCTTCCAAAAATTCTAAATTTTAATTAAATTATTTGAAATAAATTTTCTTTATAAAAAATAAAATTTTCAATATTAAGCAAATTGCCTTACATTGCCAATCATGTAATGAACCTGCCTTAGCTTTTTATCAAAAACTTGGATTTGTACAGACCGAATTTATAGCTAATTATTATTTAATTTGGAGAATTGTAAAGCCTGATGCTTACAGACTTGAATTTTTTTATTTAAAAGAGGAAGAAGAAGAAGAAAATAAATAAAGAATTAAATAGATTTAAGAGAATCTTTATTTAATTTTGTTTTAAACTTTTCAATTTTTTTGATTATTTTCTGTGTGTATGTATATCAAGGATCGTACCGACTTGTCTCATGAAAACTTAATTAACGTTTTGTCTTGACAATATCCTTAACAAAACTTAAATTTTAGTATTGGGTAATTAAGCTATTTTTTCTTGATTATCTGATGTTTACTTAAATGTTGTTCTTTCAATAATAATTTTTTGTAAATTTTTATTTAATTTTATTATCCACATTTTGTTCATTTTGATAAATTTATTTTTTAAAGATAAAAAAAATTTATTTAAAAAATATTTTTTATTGAAAATTTATTTATGTTATTTTCCAAAATATTAAATTTAGTCTTACTCATTTTCTAGTAAAAATGCCTGTTGGAAGTCAACCTTCTCCATCTGCCATGTTCGGTCCTTATGGCCGTATACAACAAACAACTCCGCCACTTAAAGGATCGTTTCCTTTAGATTATGAAAAAGAATGTCATTTACAAATGCTTAAATATATGGCTTGTTTAAATGTAAATTTTAAATGAATAAGGAAGGGTTGGGAGCCAGATCGCGGAATACATGTCCGCAAAAGGCATTTTCCAAAAGAAATTTTTTAGCCTCTCCTTTAGTTTCCGTCAGATAAAAAATGATAGGTGACAGTTTGGCGTTGTTTCTGAACTTCATTTAATCAACTTAGGGAAACTAAAGGAAAGAAAGGCAGAGGAGTAGATGTAGGCCGATTTGTGGACATGTAGGCCTCAGCAGACCTGTGCATGGATACGGATATGGATACGAATAATATCAGAATGCCTGCGGATATCCGTCTGTATCCGCCGTAAATATCCGGATATGGATACCAAAATCCGTGTCCATGTACAGGTCTGGGCCCCGAGCTGGACATTTACCGGATTCGAGATTAGGAAAAAGACTAAAATCTCGTTAATTTCATAAATATAACAGTTTATTTTCGGCCAGTGTTTTTTTAGATCTGATGGTTAAAGAGAGATAGTTAAAATTACTAAAATTTTAAATTTTAGAAAGAAAAAAGTCAAAACGGCCCTTGTCGTATATTTGCAAGAGATTATTTCAAATGTCGAATGGATAAAGGGTTAATGGATTCTGAAGAGTGGGAAAGACTTGGTTATGCCGATATTGAAGATAAAAATAATTTAAATAATTCTGAACAAATAAATATTAAAAATCAAAACAAAAAATGAGAAGAAAGGAACTGTTAATGATTGAATTAGAAAAATGATTTTTTTGATTTTATTGTTGAATAAATAAATTTGAGGACATGAAATGTTTTTTTCTATTACTTTGGAATTCTTTTTAAATAATTTAAAATAAATTTTAATTTAAATCTCTTCATTTTTTTGTTTCTTATTTTACTTACACTTTTATTCAAAAATTTTTTCAATCCAAAATGTTTGCGTAGAATAGAGGCCCGACTGTAATTTTTTTAAAATGTCCAACTTTTCCCTTCTTGTCCACTTTTACCTTTAATTATTTATAGGCGTTATTCCGTAGTTTTCTACGTCAAAAAGTGTACTTATGTAGCAGGGATTGCGCCGACCCGATTCACGAAAATCGTGAATTCCCGCGATTTTTGGCTCGTGAATTCACGAAAAATGAATTCGAAATTTTCGTGAATTCACGTTCCCGATCCACGACATTTTTTCTGAAAATCGGAAAAAAATCGGGAATTTTTATTAATTATTGGAGCTAAAAAAGGAAGAAATCTGGTAATTTGGTCTTCAAAAAATCGGCGCTGAAAAATGGAGAAATCCACTTATGTCAGAACTCTATGGTATGGACCACCAACATTATGAGTAAATCTTCAAATCCTCTTGCTCCTACAAAACGCCCTAATATCCTCCCTCAATCCTTCTTTATTACCTCAAATCCCTTTACCTTGATACACTGATATCACTTAAATATCCCTTAATTAAGAACCCCTCAATTCAATCCCCGTACTTCTAATCTCTCGTACATTTAACCCTCGTAATTACTTCTAATCCGCCAACAAAAAAGCAAAATACCCAAAATTCCCGAAAATCGTGAATTCACGACGATTCTTGGCTAGGTGAATTCACGACTCACGAAAATCGTGAATGGAATTTGGTTTAATAAACAAAAACTTTAATTAACATTAGAGGTCGGCAAAATCGCACTTCTTCGATCCCGTCGGGATTTTTTTTTCTTAAGCGATGCCGGGACGGGATCCCGTCCCGCGCCGACCTCTAATTAACATACACAATTAAAAATGTTTAAAAAATATTTTTTCACAAAAATAGATTTTGCCGTCCTCTTTAGCGTAATCAATTAAATATTTGTCTATCACTCATGATTATGTAATTTATTTTTCTCTAAATGTAATTCATATGACTGGCTTTATAAAATTTTTAAAAATATATTTTATTCATCAATCATTTACAGTCAAAATAAAAAAATTAGTTTTTCTTAAAATGTCTGCTAAAATTTTTATTATTTTTGTTGTTTTTACCGTTGTTTTTATTCATTTATGTTGTATGGGGGGAAAAGATGTTGGAAGAAAAACTTTAAAAAAACAGAATAGCTTTCCAAAATCTACATATACACCACCCCCAGGTTAATACATAATAAATGAATTTAAAAATTTTATCAGTTAAAAATTTTTCAAGTTTTCTAGAGTTATTCTTAAATATATTTTACTGGGGTATTTATTTAATTAAATTTTATTTAAATTTTTGTTGAACTTAAAAGTTTTATGTGTTTAGACACATAAACTAGTAAAGGTTGGTTAGTAAAAATTAAAAAAAGTAGAAATTTTTGGATAGTAAAAATTTTTATTTTGTTTTTAAAAACAACATTTAGACACCCTACTTCTAGAAAAGGGACTAACATATGTTTTTTTAAACATTTTTATAAATTAAGGGGCTAGTGGCCATAATAACACGGAAGAGAAAGGTAAAACTAAAAATGAAAATAAAGAAGAAAAACCTAAAAACAAAAGGAAGGAAGCCGAGTCTGATTTAGAGGAGGGTGAATTTAACCCTAAATATTACAAATATACATCAAAACAGAAATTGTGGACTGGTTAATTTTTTAACCAATGAAGATGTTATTGAAAGAATTGAATTTTATTTATCCAACTTTTTTTATTTTAAATCCTAAAAGCAATTGGTTGCATAAAAGTCAGATACAAGATTCATTGCATTATTAGTATTTGTTAAGTTATTAAAAAACTGTTTATTAAAGTAAAGACTTCGATATCTTTCTCTCATTAACTTTTTATTTGTTCTTCTTTTTAAATATTTTCCAACTTTGATAAAATTTTGATAAAAAATATTTACTCAAATTAATATAATACATTAATTTTTAACGAATATTTATTTAATGTTTAATTAATTTTGCTAAACTTTTAAAAATATGTACCGTATTTATCCTAATATAAAGACAGTCTCTATTATAACGACATTCTCCAATATAACGACACCCAAAAAGAGGGTTGAAAATTAAAACGACATCTCGTTATGTTAGAATAAATACGGTATTTTGATCATTAAAAGAGGTCAATCGAACATTGAAATGATTTTTTGTGAATATTTTGACAGGTTATTTCACAATGGAGCTTGACATCAAATTGACAACCTTAACAATTATATAGGTATTTACTCTCTAAAATAGGGGAATAAAAAGTTGGAGACAAACATTTGCGGACATGCACGGAGATATTCCCAAAGTACCAAAATATTTTATATAACATTTATTCAATTATTGTGGATTTATTTGTGAACGATTAAAAACGGCATTTCGATATGGGGTGTTTGTTAAAATACAAATAATTGGGTTAAATACGGGTATTAAATGAAAGGAAATGAAAATTAATATTCGAATAAAATTGGTTGTATTGTTATTTATTCTAAAAGTAAGATGGAAAAATAAAATCCCCGCTTGATTGATAAATGGCACAAAAGCCTAAAAATATTCTTTTAAACAAATTTTCAATCAAAAAAATTTACCAAAAGAATCAAAACTTTTGTTAAAAGTTTATTCAGTCTTTTTAGCTCTCCATCAAAATTAGTGTTTAAATTGACATATCTAACCATTTTGAATCCACAAATAATAATTATTATATAAGGAAGGGTTTGTGTTATAGCCATAGGATAAAGTGCCAAGACGCTCATCTTTTTGTTAAAAAATTTAAAAAAAATTAATTTCTAGAAAATACTTTTTCCACTTCACCATACTCAATAAACGGCCAAGTTTTGTTAAAATTATCAAAATATTTAATCCCTCCAAAAGAATATGGACTGATGAACAAAATCGCATTTAAAAGATATAATAGCGACACAAATAAGGCAAAGGACAGCATAAATAAATAACGACGAATATTAATTTTCATATTCCTAATAATATTTATTTATGAAAAGATTTTTAATATTATTTTTATTTATTTTGGTTGAAACATTAATAAATTAACCATTCAAGTTTGAAAATTTATATCTTAATTTTCTGATCTCCAATTATTTTTTTTTTACAAATTTGAACTGGATCGCGTAAATTAATTTTTGTAAGATTGGCATTTGGCTTTGGCATTCGACTTGTTAATTAAATACCTATTTATTTTTTTATTTTTAAGGTCAGGCGCGCGCAGAAGAACTCCACATTTTCTGTTATTGCAGATCTTTTTTTCAAATTCATTGACAAAAGTATTGACGGAAAGTCCATTGACGGAAATTCTATTGACGAAAAGTCGTGCCAACCTCTAGTTTGAACCAATATGTAGTATTATTATTATTAGAGTTCGAACCCGGGCCGGGCCCGGAGAGTCGCCTCCGGCGGTGAAAAAGTAAGAAATCTGGCCTCTTGGCCTTTCGAAATTCTCAAAATTTTCGCCTGCGGCGCTGAAAAGAAAGAAATTTTGCTCCTTGGCCTTCCAAAATTCTCAAAATTTTCGCCTGCGGCGCTAGAAAAAGAAATCTAGCTCCTTGTCCACACAAATTCTCAAAATTTTCGGCTCCGCGGTAAATAAAAGAAGAAATCTGGTAGCCTACCTTCCAAAATTCTCAAAATTTTTGCCTGCGGCGCTTGAAAAGAAGAAAAGGGATTTTTATTGATATCGGAGGATTAACTCAAATTCTCTCGATATCCCTATTAATCACCATCAGTGGATTTAAGTTAAAAGTCGGATTTGAAGAGAAAATCGGAGGATTAAGGGGGATATTATTATATTTGGAATTACTATGAATCCCTTCAAATTCATAATCTTCTATATCCCTCCAAATCAATGATATCACATGGAGGCTTCCCAAATACTTCAAATCCACTTATTTTCCCACACTACAAATTATTTCAAAAATTGCGGATTGCGGATTTTAAAATTAAAATTGCGGATTGCGGCTGCGGAAATTTTTTTTCACTTGCGGACACCCCTGCTATACTATATCCTTTAGCGCATCTATCCTTTGATTCATCTATCCTTTAATCAATCCTTTGTATGTTTTCCGATCCTTTGTATGTGTGATAATTTTTTTATGTTTTTAATAAATTTAGAAAAAACCGGGTCCGGGCCCGGGTCTGAAAAAATCCGGTTTTTCCGGGCTAACCGGTTTTTCCGGTTTTATCCGGAAAAACCGGTCCGGGTGCGATTTTGTTAAGAAAAAACCGGGTCCCGGGCCCGGCATTTTGAAAAGTTCGAACTCTAATTATTATTTCAACCAAGTATTATTACTACCTATTCAAAACTAAATATCTATAAACAAATTGAACAGTCAATCCACTCAAATTTAAATAACCAATATATTGCCAAACTGTTAAAACAATATAACATATAAATGGGTTAAAATTTTCTTTCATAAAACTAGGCAAAATGGTAATGGAATTTTCGTCTTTGGAACTTTCGTACCCAAATTTCGGAATTCTCGTCTCCAGCAGGAATATTCGACACCAAATAAAAAATCGGAATTTTCGTCTACAGGATTTTAGGCGTGAGGAATTGAGGGTGTTGGAGTAATTTTTTGATTTACATATTCGAAAAACACCACAAACTCAAACAACGTAAACCTATGGAGGACGGCAAGCCACTCCTTGCAGAAAAAATGCAAGAAAAGGAGTGAAAAGTGCGTATTCTCTTTGCGGACAGGTGGGGGAGTCAACTGGTCATTTACCGTATTATTTTTCGAATAAATCAAAAAATTACTCCGACGCCCTAAATTCCCCGCGCCTAAAACTCCAGTGACGAGTATTCCGTTTTTTGACTTGTTGACGAATATTCCGCTGGAGACAACAATTCCGAAAATTTGGAGAAGAAAGTTCCGAGGCGAAAGTTCCAAAGATGAAAATTCCGTACAGTAGCAAAATTCCATTGGGAAAAATAATATATGCTTTCCCTTCTGTATCGAATACATAAAACTGTAATTTTTAATGTTTTGAGAATATTTTCTGATTTAATTACCTCTTGAATAAACATTTGAACAATTAACAATAAAATATCCAAAACACAATTTTGTATCAGAATTCTGCTGTGTATTTTCATTTCTTTTGGCGTTTTAAAAATAATTAAAATAATCAGAATAATATTTAAAGGAAAACCAATTAATAAACAGACAAAATAATCAAATTTAAATAAAATATCAATTAAATCTATCGACATTTTTAGTTTAATTTTTTAAATTTAAAATAATTTTTTGAATGTTAAAGTAATAAAAACTTATATAATGGGTTGTCAGATAAATAATGAGCCCTTTTCGCACACCTACATAGAATTTTTAATTATATACAAAAGATATTTCTGAGAAAATTTTTTTGTTTATTTCAAAATTTATTGTGACATTTTAATTGTTTGGTTAAATTTTGTCTGAGAAAGTTAGTCTAGACTAAAGTAAAGTCTATAAACTGTAGGTTTTGGAGAAAAATGTTTTTAAAAATACAACACTTAAACACTAGGGTTTCACCGGAACCGAAATTTTGACCGGAACCGGAAACTCCGGCGAAACCCTATTAAACACCTTATTTCTAGAAAAGGAACTAAAAGATGTTCATTTTTATAAATTAGGGAGCAACTACGAGTTACCATAAAAAAACGGAAGAAAGGCAAAACATTTAAAATATCAATTAAACTAAAAACATAAGGGAAACAGACGAGTCTGATTTAAGGTTGGCGGTTCCGGTTATCCGGAACCGAAAAAAGACCGGATAACCGAAAATTTTCGGTTCGGTTATCGGTTCCGGTTCCGGATAACCGAAGATTTCCCAGGAACCGCCAACTTTAGTCTGATTTAGCGGAGGGTGAATTTAACACTAATAAATACAAATATATGTACATCAACATAAATTATTAATTTTTTAACAAGTTAAAAAATTGATAAAAATGAAAAAGTTACTGAAAGAATTGAATATCCAACTTTTTTTATTTTAAATCCTAACAGCAATTAGTTGCATACAAGTCAGATACAAGATTCATGGCATTATTAGTATTTGTTAAATTATTTAAAAAACTTTAATAAAGTGAAAAAAAACTGTTTAGTAAAGTTTATTTTTTAAATATTTTCTAACTTTGATAAAATTTTGATAAAAAATATTTACTCAAATTAATATAATACACAAATTCAATGAGTATTTATTTAATGTTTAATTAATTTTTCTAAACTTTTAAAAATATGTTGATCATTAAAAGAGATCAATCGAACATTGAAAAGATTTTTTGTGAATATTTTGACAGGTCTAGATGTTTCTAAATTGTAGTTTAAAATCAAATTGGCAACCTTAATTATTATATATTTATTTACTTTCTAAAATAGGGTTAATCAAACTGAACCACAACAAATTAGGTATATTTAAATAATTATCCAGTCATATTGTGCATATTTTGTTGATTGTTTATAAACCCTCCATGAATTGAAATTTTATATGTTTTTAACGAGTTAAAAATATTTTTTAAAAGGGCTTTTGTGTCGTTACGAACAGTTTTGTTTAATGTTAAGTAAATAACTGGAGGTAATCCTTTAAATAAAAAATTCTTTCCTTTGATTATTTGAAAATTTTCATTTATAGCGGGTTTTTAATGCGTGGACGTAAGGGTGTTATTTGACACCAGTAACATAAATCTATTCCTTTTACCGATTTTCAGCATTTAAACGCCGATATATCCCCCGTAATAGCAGCATAGAAACTTTTTCCAGCGAAAACTCAGTTGGTCATAACTCGATCCATAGTTCTTGAATAAACTTATCTCACACCTCATTCGAGTCATCTAATCGAGCTGAGTCGAATGATACCCCATCCAAGCATTAAAAACCCGCTATAAGTGAAGAGTACCAAAATTCGTACCTACATATATTGCAACTTTTTGATTTTTTTCAACCTATTTACATATTTATTTAAACTTTTTTCATAATCTATTTAGTTATTTATTATCAGTTTTTTTCTAAAAAACGATTGCTTATTATTTACTATTAATAAATTAAAAAATAAAATTTTATAATTGAAAAATACCGTGGATATGTAACCTTAAAAATATAAATTATGTAAATTTAAATATTTATATTTTACCAAGAGAAATGTGCAATCATTAATGCTAAAGTTCCAGATCCTTCTGACAGGTACATAGTGTAAGATGCGAAAATACCTGTTGATGCATTTATTAGGGAAATGATAAATACTTGAATAAAAACCTTAAAAATTTAATTTTTAATAAATTAGTTCTGCCTATTAAAGAAACATTATATAAATTTTTATTAAATTCCCCAATAAGCCTCAGTAAAAACCAGAAGTGATAGAAATGACGAAGGTATCGGAAATCAAAAATGGCTCAAAAGTCGGAACTCGGACATTATAGAAACTTTTCGGTAATCGGAATTTCTATCGACCTTTGGTGGAAACCAAAAGTGAAATGAAATTTTGACAGGAACCAAGATTTTTAGGATGTCTAATAGTACTTCGAGTGTTTGATTTTTAAATGATTATTATTTAATTTTAACCAATTTTTCCTCTTTTGAAACACTGCTAATTAATTCACGGCCTTTAATGAAAACACAAATTGAAAAAATTGAATAAATTATTGGAGACCCTAAAGCCAATATTGTATTGTGTGTTGTAAATGGTACTAAATCTTCCTTCAACTAAATATTAAAATATATAAAATTATCTAAATTTATTAACTAATTCCATGTCTATATCCATTTAATGGATCTAATGAAACTTCAAAAAGTCTTCCATTAAAAATACACGGGTGTAAAAATATTAGCCAATAAACTCCATATAAACTACAAAAAGTTATCCAAATATAAACACGGTTATTGTGGAAAAGCTTTCTCGCAATCTCTGGAAATGCAACTTCGAGACAACGATTTATTCCCAAAATCTAAAAAAATATTTTATTTAATATAAATATATATTTATTTATTAAACCAAATCAGCAGCACATTCAGCAATCCAAAGAACTAATAAAATTAACAAATTTAAAGTTTTAATTAATATTTTTAAATTTTCTTATGAATGGTCCTCTCAATTCTTGTATAAAAAATTTTCGAGACTTTTAGAGAGCATCTCCTGTATTTTTTATAAATAAAGCGGCCAAACCCATCTCAAAATATTGCAAAGATTAAAATGTGATTTAAGAAAAACCGAACAGACTGATCGCTTCATTATTGTTTTATCTTTAGGTTGGAGAAAGCTTTTGCTGGTTTTTCATGCATTTATTAATGCATTTACGATTAATTTAATTATATTTTCACAAAGATTTTTTTTCGATTTATCAAATTGAATTTCTTGATTTTTAAGTGTCCGTCACGTTATGTCCGCCCCGATATTATTCATTTATGACTTTCTGGCTCGATTCGTTAGTTAAATTTAAATAAGGTCAACTAATGAATTATATTCCTAAGGCTATAGGTATTTGGATTAGAACATGAATATGATGAAAACTCACATCCAAGACACCCGATAAAATAAACAAAAGAAGGGGAAGAACAATAGACTACACCATTTAAGCTTAGAAATCCATAAACAAAAGTTGGCACCCAAAGCACTCCAATATCCAATATAGAAAGATAAATTAAAAGTATATAACAAGGATTTTTGGCTCGATTCTTCCAGAAAGAGTAAAGACAAGGGAAATATAAAGGCTTAAATAATTAAAATTTTTCTGCTTAATCTTGTTTCCAACAGAAAGAAAATGTTTGGAAAGAAATTGAAAAGAATTTTTTGGGCGGAGAATAAAATAAATAAAATATATTTTTATGATTAATATATTTTTTTTCCACGCAAATTTCACCCTTTTTAAATCGTCAAATTTTTCATTATTCTTCAGTCGCTTTTGAATATTCGAAATTTGGAAATAAATATTTTTTATTGTGGAAATAAAGAGTTAAATAAATTTGAGAGTTAAAATAAGGGGCTTTAGAGAAATTACCCTAGAAAATATATAGGAAGGAAAACCTTATAATTAATTTTAATATTTTGGTTTTCATATGGTGCCACGACCATAATTGTGTTTATATAATATTGTTTGAGGAAAACAATAAATTTGAATTTATTTGAAGTTGAAAATTTGTTTGAATAAAATTTTTTTTTTTTTTGATTGTTTGAAGAACAATCAGATATAACTTTTGAGGTTTATATTTTTTTAGTACAAGAATAATAATGTCCGGAACTATTCGTCAAGCTATGACTCCGGCTATAACGCGATTGCGTGAACATATTGAGGAAATTCGCCCCGTTTTGGACGCCCAAGAGCGCACAGTTGAAGGTATGGAAATGTTAAGGACAAGGTTAGTAAAATTGCGACGTCTAGTTAATCGTCTCGAAGAAAGGGCCAATCAATGGCAGGATTATATTAGAGGACTCCCGGCTAATGAAAGACAAGCCGAGGAACAGGTTTTAGCAAATTTTGCGCCATTAGAGCACCATTATGCGGAATGGATAGAAAATGCGCATGAAATGATTGCGGATATTGAGATTTTGTTGACAGAGTCAGAAGACGGCAGTACTCAGTCCGATCTTTCTGTAGAATTGGGAGTTGGACAAAATAGAGCCAACCAATCAAGGAGGCCAGAAGCTCCAATAAATGATGGGCAGACTCCGTTAAATGAGAATTTATTTCGTAGGAATGAGTATAATATTCCTGCGCATTTGCCTAGGACTAGGTTGGCAGAGTTTTATGGAGACCCTCTAGTTTGGCCAGAATTTTGGCAATCTTTTAGTAGAACTGTAGATAGCCTGGAGATGGACCCGGGGCTAAAAGCACATTATTTAATTCAGTGCCTTAGAGGTAAGGCCAAAAGAGCAGTTTTGGGTTATCGGCCGATTGCCGAACATTATGAACCTCTTAAGGATGCATTAAAAAGACAGTTTGGGAATGAAAAAGCAATAAGGGATACTCTCCACGCTGAATTAATAAGCCTTCCTATGGCAAATGAATCGGTTTTTTCTCTTCGTTCGTACCTTGAGGAAGTTGAAAGGATTTGTAGATCCCTTACAGCAATGGGGAGAGTTGAAGATGAGTCTATAGTTATGATGGCAATAAAAAATAAGTTGCCAAAAAATATTGTTTTAGAATTATTAAAAAAGGAAAAAGAAGCAAGAGCGACTTGGAATGTTGATGAATTAAGAAAAGGGTTAGAAGAGATAGTAGCTCTTAGAGAAGAAGCGCAAAGGTGCGTTCAAACATTTTCTAAAAATATTAATTATAACCAACAGAGGGTTGGGAACAATTGGAATAATAATAGAAGTTTTAATCAGAAGCGAGCTAATTTTAAAAGAGAAAATTTTGATCGTGTGTTTACTGTACAATCAGGTGATTATAAAGCAAGAAACAATAGAAAGTTTGAAATTTCTTGCTATTTTTGTCATGGAGCTCACCACGCAGAAAGATGCGAAAAAGTGAAAGCGATATATATTAGGACAAAAATGCTTACAGAGCAAAATCGATGTTTGCTTTGCTTAAGGAAGGGCCATACAGTGACGAACTGTGTCACTAGAATTGAGTGCAATATTTGTAGAGGACGTCATAATAAATTGATCTGTCCAAATTTATATAAAAAGGTAATAAATGGAAAAGAATTTAAAAAAGTTGAGCAGGTAAATCAAGTAGAGACTTCGGAAAATCTACTTACTATAGTAGAAAAACCGAAGGAAGTTGCATTAATGCAAAGTAATATGGTTTTATCCAATTCAGTAATTAATAAAAAGTGCAATTCGGTTGGCTTATTTGATACAGGAGCCACTATTAATTTTATTACCGAAGAGAAAGTGAAAGAATTGAATTTAAAAAAGATAGGAGAAAAGGAACTAGGAATTATCCCGTTTTCTCATAAAGAACCTATAAGAATTAAATCAGCAAAGTTTTTATTTGAAATTATTCTCGAAGATGGAAGTAGAGAAGAAATTATTGCATATAAAATTAAAAAAGAAATAATGCCAAATATAAAGTGTGCTAATTTAGAAAATGGTCAAATTCGAACTTCTGAAAAAGTGCCCGACGTTTTAATAGGAATAAAGCACTTTTGGAAATTTTTCCGCAGTTTGGTACCGTTATCAGATAGTTTGTTTAAGGTTGACACTTCTGTCGGTACAATTATTTGTGGAGAGCTTGAAGGCGAATTAAATGGAATTTTATCAAAAAAGAAAAATAATAAAGGTGTGCCAATATTAAATATAGACTCTGATGAAAAATTAAATAATTTTTGGAGTTTGGAAACCATAGGAGTTAAGGATGACCCGACAACCAAAGATGATCAGGTTGCAATGGATTTTTTTAAAAAGACTATAAAGCGTTCTCCAAATGGTCGATATATTGTAAAATGGCCATGGAAAGAAGAAAGAGAAAATTTACCTTCCAATTTTTCTTTAGCCTATAGGCGTTTTGTGGGTTTAATTGAAAGACTTAAAAAGAACCCAGATTTAATGCTTGAATACGAGAAAATAATTGAAAATGACATAAAAAGAGGAGTTTTAGAAAATGCTGATCGAAACAAAGGATCAATAGAGCATTTCCTCCCTCACCATCCTGTCATCACTACGAAAAAAGTGAGAATAGTGTACGACGCGTCTGCCAAAATAAGAGGAGGAAAAAGCTTAAATGAATTGTTATATCGCGGTCCAATAATAATGCCAGAATTAGCTGGAATGTTAATTAGATTTAGGCTTCCAGAAATTGCCATTTGGGCAGATATTGAAAAAGCGTTTCATTGTTTAGAGCTTGATCCAGAAGATCGAGAGGTTTTAAAACTAATATGGCTAAAGGACGTAAGAAAGCCTATAACTTCAGAGAACATTAAATATTTACGATTTTCAAAGGTCCCTTTCGGTGTAATATCAAGCCCGTTTCTTTTATCTGCCACAGTTAGGCATCACTTAGAGTCAATGGATGACCCAATAGCACAGAGGCTTAAAAATAATTCATATGTTGATAATATATTGATAGGTGTCGATACAAAAGAGGAAGCATTAGAGGCTTATATTAAATTGAAAAATATCTTTAAAACAGCCCAAATGAACCTTCGAGAGTTCATTTCGAATTGTTTAGAATTTAATGAAGAATTGCCTATGGAAGATCGTTTAGAAAAAAGTAAGTCAAAAATTCTAGGAATTCCATGGAATATTGAAACTGACAAACTTTCAGTTGGTTTTCCTGTGTTTGAGAATAATAAAAAGATAAATAAAAGGTTAGTACTGAAACAATTAGCTAGTGTATTTGACCCGCTAGGATTTGCTTCCCCGAGTTTATTATCCGCGAAATTGTTTTTCCAGTCTTTATGGGAAAAACAGCGAGAATGGGATAGCATTTTAATCGAAGAAGAAGCCAACAAATGGTGTGAAATCATCGAAACATGGAAAGTTTCGCCTATTGAAATTGAAAGAAAAATAATAGATAAAAACGGTGAATATCAATTACACGTGTTTTGTGATGCATCCAAAGACGCATACGCTTCTTGTGTTTATATGAGGTGTATCACTAATAAAGAAATTATGGTTAATATTTTGTATGCCCGGAATAGACTCAAACCAAAAAAGATGAGCGTTAGTATACCACGAATGGAATTGTTAGGGGTACTAATTGCTACTAGAGCTTTAAATTTTGTTTCAAAACAAATTGGTTTAAAAATTTCCCAAAAATATCTTTGGTGTGATTCCAAACCTGTTTTATATTGGATTAAAGAAAATTATAAAGGAGAAAAATTTGTTGAAAATAGAATTAAAGAAATTAGAAGTCATAGTGATTTGAATTTTGGCTATATTCCAACAGAGTGCAATCCTGCGGACATTGCAACACGCGGATGTACACCTGTTGAACTAAGCACTAATTTATTATGGTGGTCAGGACCTGAATTTTTGAAAAATTCTAAAAATTTATGGCCTGACGAGTTAAATTTTGTTGTTGAAAATATTGAAAGGGAAAATAATTTTGAAGAAAATTTTGAAATTAATCAAATAAATAGTAAAGAATGTAATAAATTTATTGACTTTAATAAATGGAATAGCTGGAATAAAATTTTAAAAATTATTTTAATTGTCTCTCTCTTCGCTCGAATATGGTTGAGTAAATGTAAAATGAAAATTAAGAGCGAATTTATTAAATCAATAAGCGAAAACAAAAGACCTGCAGGTGCTGACATTAAAAGAGTGGAAATATTTTTACTAAAATTAATACAAAAGGGAATTGACAAAAATTTAATAAATAGGAATACAATAATTATTACAGATAAAGATGGAATTTTTCGGTTGAATTCTAGAATAGGCAAAAGCGAAATGTCTGATGGATTTAAAAACCCTATAATATTGCCAAAGGGTCACCCTGCTGTAAAATTGATCATGGATAAATTACACATTGAGCTTTTACATTCAGGCGTGGACGCCGTTTTAGGAAATTTCTTAATTAAATATTGGTCACCGTGCGCCAGAAGAGAGGCCAAGAAAGTAGTAAGGAATTGTAAAAAGTGTCAAAGAATAAATGGACCGAAATTCGCACTCCCAACAATGCCAGGATTGCCTAAGGAAAGGTTAATTAAATCTAGAGCGTTTGAGGCAATTGGCGTTGACTATTTAGGTCCTTCTTTATATAAAATTGAGAATGGAAAGGCCAAATTTTGGATTGTTCTTTTTACATGTTTCACGACTAGGGCAGTCCATCTTGAAATAGCACTGGAGCTGTCAGCGCTAGAATTTCTCCATTGTTTAAGACGTTTCATTGCCAATCGAGGATGTCCCAAAAAGATACTATCGGATAACGCCAATCAGTTCAAAGTGGTTTCAGAACTAATCGGCGCTAAACTCGTAGGAAAATGGGTCGAAAAACAAACAAACGATGAAAAAAGACTAAATAATTTTTTAATAAATAAAGGAATTGAATGGTGTTTTATTCCATCGCTATCCCCATGGGCGGGAGGCGTTTATGAACGTTTAGTTAAATTGGTTAAAGACTCATTTAAAAGAACACTTGGAAGTGTTATATTAAATTTAGAGGAGTTAAGAACCTTCATAAAGGAGGCTGAATTTTCTATTAACTGTAGGCCTATTTCTTTTGTTTCTGGAGAGATGGATGGACCATCTTGTCTTAGACCTGTTGACTTTCTCTTGCCAAATATTGAAATTTATGAAAATATAAATGAGTCAGATGGAGAAGAATTTAAAATAGGAAAATTGAGTATGGGAGATCAATTAAGAGTACGATTAAAAGCCACTCAAAAGGCCTTTGAGAAATTTTGGTCGAGATGGGCTCGCGAATATTTATTGATTTTAAGGGATAAATCGAAATGGACCCATAATAACGATCGAACTTCACTAAAAAGAGAACCAAGAGTTGGTGAGGTGGTGATTGTACAACAGGAAGGCCAACCAAGGAACACGTGGAGTTTAGGAAAAATTATTGAGCTAGATGGAAACCCGCCAAAGAGCGCTAAAGTACAAATAGGAAAAAGAATTTTAGTACGGCCTGTCAATAAGCTTTTTCCGATGGAAACAGAGAATGACGTAATTAAAAAGGGAGAAGAAAAAAGTGAAAATAAACTGGAGAATAGCCAAAATATTGATAGAAATAAAAATGAAATAAAAAATAAGGACAAAGAACAAAATTCAATAAATAATAATTCAAAAGGAATAAAAAATGAAGAAAATAAATTAAAGAATAAAAACAATATACATCCCATGGTCACAAGGGCAAAAAAGGCGGCATTAATCTTGACAATTATAAATTTATTTTTATTAGTGACCTTTGTATCTTCTAATCCAACTTATCTAGTAAGCTGCAGAGGGTGCAGAATGAAATGTAGAAATTTCGGATTATTAATAAGTGTCGGATCTGAAATTGACAAAGTAGAAGTTTGCTGTATGGGTACTTGTATAATCGAAACAAATGGATTAGAACATTTAGAATTGGGGCTACCAAAGGATGTAACGGCCTTAGATTATAGATGTCGAGCAAAATATATAAATGGTCGACGAATATTTCGAGGAAGTATTTTTTGTCCGGCAGTAGATCCTTGTTTAAGAATTACAGAAATTTGGGAAAGGATAGTAAATCCACAATGTGAGTCAACAAAAACTATAACAATAGTTGGTATTTTCTTAGCATTTATGCTTTGTCTAATAATAAGCGGAATGGTTTGCGCTTGTAGAATTCTTTCAATATTAGGCAAAATATGTTTAATTATTTGGAGATTGATTAAAACAATGGTTAAAATTTCTTCTAAAAAAGATGGAAAAATTGAAAATAAGGACCTTGAAACACTTATTGATCGGTCCCATAAATTAAAGAAAATAAATAGAATAAAAAGGAATAGAAGACTAAACCGACTTGGATTATTAAATATAATCATTTTTATTATTTTTATGGAAATTGTAAAAGCCGATATTGAGGTTATTTCAATTCAGGCGAGATCGGAAGATTGTTATAGATACAAAAATTTAACCACCTGTAAAATTACCACGACTAATACCTTAACTTTATTGCCTGATGGGCAGGTAATTTCCTTAACTTTAAAAAATGATAAAGGAATGATAATGGGTGAAATGGAATTTATTATGAACAGTCTTTCAATAAAATGTAACCAAAAATCTCAAAGACAATTGAGATCATATGAGCTTAAAGTTGGATCTGTTAAAAGGTGTCCAGCTCAGGGGACCTGTAAAGCTGGAAGATGCCAACATATTAGATCGAAAGAAAATGTTGAAGAGTTAGATGAATGGATTAAAAAACCAGGAAATTCATATTGTGTCGAAGGCCACGCATTATGGGGATATCAATGTGGATTACCTGGAGCAGCCTGTTATTTCTATAAAGTATATGCCGAACCAGTTTCTAATGAGGTATTTGAATTGGTTTCATGCCCTACATGGGATTATATAATTGATATAGAAATGTCAATGAGATTTAAAGGAAATATATCAAAATATACTTTTTCATTAAGTCCTGGAGCGACAATAAAATGGGATAAAATTAAAATATCGCTATTGGATATTACCCCACCTATGGCTCCAATTTTAAGCAATCAATTTATAATTGGTAACAATGGAGTAGCAATGGTCGATAATTTTAAATTAGATCTAGAATGTTCTGATGCCAAAAATTTTTCAAAATGTGAATTAGATATAAATTCTTGTAAAGAATGTTGGTTAGATAAAGAAGAGGAACAAATAAAATGTGCTTGTATTGATTTAATTATTGAGGAAATATTTAAAGATAAACAAAAATCTTTGCCTTTAGATACAAAAAGGATTAAATTAAGGAATAATGGAAGAAATATATATTCAGAAACAAGTTACTTACCTATAGAAATTATGGTTAGATTTGAAAATTATACAATAGCTTCAAATATAGATATTTCTATTTGTAAAATTGAACCTATTATATTATCGGGTTGTTATAATTGCTTTGGAGCAATTTTTAAATATAAATGTTTTTCGGATTATGGAAATCCTCTAGCAGAAATAAAATGTAAAAATGGCAATATTTTTACAAGTAAATGTTCAATAAATGGGACTGAACAAGTTTCAGTTCTATCTTTCGATAGAACAGAAGTAAGAGAGTTTTGTGAAATTTTTTGCCCTGGAGGCAAAACAAACTTTACAATACAGGGAACTCTCGAATATATTCTCCCAGAAAAAGCTAAAATTATAGTTAAAAATGGAACCCCAAGTTTATACACAATGGAAAGTGCGTGGGGAGGTATTTTTGACAATTCATGGACGAATTTTAAACTTTTGGACATACAAGGATTATTTTGGGAAATGATGAATATTAAAATAATTTCAATTGGAATTTTAGTCATCATTATCATTTATTTCATATTAAAAATTTTTTTAAAAGTCAACCCAATGTTAAAAATGTATAGATTAATCATAACCAGCTGTTTATTGTTGATAACAAATTTGGGGGCGGGAGGTTTTGGAGAGACACCTCCAAATTTTAAAAATTTTGTTGAGATGTCAAGGGGGCATTATTTTTGTATAAAAAGGTTTAAAAATTTTAAATTTTATTCACTTTCAAAAAATCATTTAAATTTAAAAATATTCATGGCCCCAATTCCCTTTACTCAATTCGCTGCTAATATTTTAAATTGTGATTTAGAAGATGTCTATGGAAGACTTTATTTTAGCCGTTTGGATCGGAATACAGTTGCTAATGAAGCAAGAAAGGTAGAAAATAATAATGGAAATATTTATTGTTCTACTAATGAATTTTCTTGCCCAAGGGGGGTTATAACTGGATTAGCCGAGTGGATATTGGTTGACGATAATAAAAATTTGGCTGTATATCCGGAACAAATCCCTCCACAATGGTGGAGTGAATTAGTTAAAAGAAATAGGATGAATACTCAAAATTTCTTTTATGATGAGGAAGTTTCTAAAACAATTGATATGGGACCAGGGATAGAGTTAGAAAATCCTCTGAGAGGTGTACTTGAGTTTTATCCTTTGGAAGGATTAGAAATAGAAGAATATATTGAGGAAGAGGTCCCAGATATGGATAGATTAAATATAAACATTGAAAATAATAATAATAATATTCAGAATAATTATGGTAGTCAAACATCTGCACGAGCAACTATGGAAGTTGAGGTTAGTAATGGAAGTTTAAAAAATATAAAAATGGATTTTATTCAGGAAAAATTAGTTGTTACTATGGAAGCCAACTCGGATCTTCATTGTTCAAGCAGCGGATCTGAGGTATCCACTGTAGAAGTGAAGGTTAAGGCTAAATTGTTTCGTGGTCCGTTGTTGGGAATTTTTTTCTTATGTTTGGTAGTTGGGACATGGACTCCCGCTATGGCAGCACCAAACAGCAACACCCCAACAACACCATTAGGGGACTCCAATTTGGATACGGAGGACCCAGAAGCATTTGAGGAGTTGTGTGATGCGTTTTTGGGCACACACAATTCTTCTGTGCCTCAAGGGGAGGCACAGGAGAATACAACCAACACATCACAAATGTATTCAATTTTCGATCATTTAATGGACAATTGGGCAACACGTAACCAACACTTACCATCAACCTCAACAACTACAACTAGGCCAATCCAATTTGTGCCTCAAACAACAACAGCAACACAACAAAATCCAGCTATTATCCAACAACAGCAACGACAACATGTTGGTGGTCCGATTCGTGCGCGAAGGCAACCCAGACAAAATTTAAATCAAGGTTGCTTCATTTGCCACGCTTCAGACCACTTTGCCAAATATTGTCCGGCCAAACAATCTTGCAGCAGCAACATGATAATTCAGCGGACAACAAATCCACCCAGCAACACTCAAAACCAGGACACACAAACAGCAATGCGCAGCGTTGCAACTCAATTAACAAGAATGAGTCAGCAGTGGACAAACATTCCTGCCATTTCCGCATTTCTACTACAAATGGCGCAATTCATTCTTCTGGCATTGGACGCCCCGAGACAACACTAATTGGTGGCCGGGAGTGTTTCCAACAGAAAGAAAATGTTTGGAAAGAAATTGAAAAGAATTTTTTGGGCGGAGAATAAAATAAATAAAATATATTTTTATGATTAATATATTTTTTTTCCACGCAAATTTCACCCTTTTTAAATCGTCAAATTTTTCATTATTCTTCAGTCGCTTTTGAATATTCGAAATTTGGAAATAAATATTTTTTATTGTGGAAATAAAGAGTTAAATAAATTTGAGAGTTAAAATAAGGGGCTTTAGAGAAATTACCCTAGAAAATATATAGGAAGGAAAACCTTATAATTAATTTTAATATTTTGGTTTTCATAAATCTTTAAAAAATACATAATATATGCAGCCTAATATAATGCAAACGATTGCAGCAATTTGAAATCTTTGATCATTTGGAATATTATCAACATTAATTCCTGTACAATTATATACGATGTCAAAATCCTTACGATTCCACAAAATATATTCCATTATATATTCAAATTCTTCTAAATTTTAAATTAAATTTTAACTATTTCCATATTTATCCTAATAGATTAACTGTGGTTCTATTTTTAAACCCTCCCATTTTGTGTGGTTATATTAGAGACTGGGGTTCAAATGGAGACTATGGCTTTATTTCTCAATCAAGTTTTATTTTGATTGATTATCGTTATTTCCAGAACCAACACGAAGAACAGATACGGAAAATCCTATTTAGGTTCTTCGGTAAAGTTCAGTGTCGGTAACACTGTAAGAAGCATAATTCAAGACGTGCTAGCGGAAATATTCGTGCATTTGATGTAATCTCTTTATCTTTTCGAATCACCCTAAATCCCTTTTAATTACCATGCCCCTCTTAATCCCCCAAATCCCCAATATCCTAATTAATATTGGTAATTACACAATATCACCTTTACTCAGTCAGAATTCCTTTATATACCTAAAAATCCCTCCAAATGTACCTATTTACGTCTTGATCCCTCGATTTTATGCTACCATCCCCTGATATTCGCTTTAAACCCCCAAATCCCCAGGTATCCATCTTATTGATTTTAATGAAATTTAGGGATTCAACAATGAAATTATTTGAAAAATCAACTGCAAAAATAATCAAACATTTTATTGAGGCATTTTTAGAGTGAGGAGGTATTTTAGAGGGAGGGGTTATTTCAGAAGAGAGGGAGCTATTTTAGAGGAAATACGGTATACTGTATTGAAAAAGTTAATTGTTTGAGATACATAAAAAATGTAAATAAAAAATGTTTACATACATATCATTAAAAAGTTATGATGAAATGAAAAGTGCCACATATTTTTGGTCACCCGTAAAATGTGCAAGACATAATAATAAAGCGTGAGAAATTAATAAAGGCCTATGAAGCTCATGTTAATTTTACTTTCTGACACTCTTTTTTAACGAGCCATCTAATTAAATAAAACTGATTTTCTCGCAAATAAACTGACAACCTGTGCCGTCGTGGGAAAATTACATCAGCAACTACCATATAGTGATAGAATAAGTATTTCTACACAATTTTATAGTTAGTGTGAAAACTGACAGAAAAAAACTTAATAAATATGTACATATCAACTAAATATTTAGAAAAGTAAAGTTGAAATTTCCAAACAATTGTGATTTTATATACCTATTTTGGCTTGTTCAGCGAATCCTCATTTTTTTAATTTTATGATACTGCGGAGTCCGGATTATAAGAAGTTTACCAAACAAAAAATTAAAAAAGTAAAACAACGTTGATTTAAACCAGTCTTACCCAAAAAATCGGTCGATACCGAAATCAAGTCGTCTTAGTTTAACTAAATTATAAGGCTTTTAGTATTTTATCCTTCAAATTCAAAAAAATAAATTCTTTTAAAATCTATGTGATGTAAAATATTGTGTTTGGTGATGGCTTCTTGGTGGTAAATGCCTTTGTTGATAATGAATGGCCTCCTGAAATTGATCCTGTTGTTGAGGGGGATTGTTTGGAATTGTTTTAGGGAATCGGCCTGTGCCATAATTGTTTTGTTGCGGAGGTGGTTGACTTGACCCAACTGGCCGATTACTGCCATGGGGACCTGCTCCTACCTTAAATGAGGTTATTATTAATGTTTATTGTCTTCTAAGGTTAAATTAAAAAATTTCTGAAAAAGCCTTGGAATAATTTTTCAAAAATTTTAACCTCTGAAGCTCTGTTTTGTGAATAAATCTCTTTTTCTGTTCGTCTTTGCTTGCCTTTTGTACGTTGAAAGCATATTATAATTGAAACAGTTCCAACACAAAAAACGACAAGTACGAAGATGAGAAAACAAACAAGTGGAAAAATCCTCAAAATATTTTATTTAAAGTTAACCAAACAATTATTTTTGAATAAAGGATGTTTTATTTATTCCGATATTTTTTAATTTATGTGAATAAGGGGTAATGGAGAAATCCTGGAAATTTTTGAACCTCAATAAGGATGGAGGATCCGGATCCGAAAAAGACCGGATATCCTGAAAGTTTCGGTTCGGAAGTCGGATCAGGATATCCGAAGATTTATAACAATCCGCCAACTTTAAACCGCAAGTGGATACAGATTATTCGCGTTATAATGGTAAAAGCGTAAGAAAATTATTCAGGCATGATACACAAGAGGCCTACACATAATAGAGTTGGACACAACCGGTTATTAACGACACCACGGTTTTCGTTTTGTCGGTTTTCGTTTTGAGTTTTAGTTATGTGCAGTATATTGGGGTTATTTTGGGGGAATTTTTTAATAAATTTATTTCAAAAATTTTCGGTTGTTAAATTTTAATAAAAACGGTTAATTTTTGTCAAGAAATATCAAAATTTTCTGTTTTCTATTTCCAACCCTAGTCAACCCCCTTATTTATTTTAACTTTAAATTATCAAATACCAAAATTGATCTTTAGGGCAGCAACCTGTTACACAACAACCTTCCATTTTCTCACAGAGCAGGGTAACTGTATTACCACTTTGATTCTTTGCATTGTATACACAACGAATAAATCCAGAATCTACACCTATTTAAAGAACTAGGTAAATACAGACAGATTTTGTATGTACGACATCTCACTTGCAGAACTCCTACATTGATGTTAGATCCCCGAAAGGTGGAATTTAAGTTATATCAGACCCCTAATGACATACTCAATTTAAGGTGAACAGATACAAGTGAGATTTGAGTGTATTTTAATTTGAATAAATTTAATTAAAAACCTTCCAAAGAAGAGCCAATAAAATCGCCTTAATTTTTAAATAAATTTAAAATTATTTTTAAAATTTAAATTATAGAAAATTATATGAATTATAAGTAGAAAAACTTCAATATTAATAAACTTGTTGCATAAATAAATGAACTTTTTTTTTAAAATTTTTGTTTTGGATAAATTTGATTGTTAACTTATGGGTAAAAAATTTAAAAAATTATTATAAATTAAAATTAATTTTCACCTATCGTCCCATGCTGAAAAACTTCTTGTAATTGAACACCTTGAATTGTTTCTGATTTTCTGCCAGTTGGCAGCCGAATAGTTTCACCCATCTCATGAATGTTAAAAGATTTTAAAGAGATTTAAGAACAACTTGCTAGGATTCGTAATTAAAAACTATCAAAATTTTAACTAAAATATCTTCAAATATCAAAAGAGAGTGAGAAGGTCGGCACTCGTTTTTCGTTTAAAAATAAAAAAACAACAGAAAAAGGTCGAATCGAGCCGAATATCTAATAAGAAGAGTGAAGTAAATGAGGTTTTGAGAGAGATAGGCTTAACTTTGTATAATTCTCTTAGGAAATTTAACTTTATTTTGAGATATTGAATATATATAGTTGTACAAATCCAGAAAAACTTTTAGTTAAACTCAAGAAAAATCATCCGAGAAAATCGATTTGCGCGCTTTAGAGAATGGGGAGGAGAGGAGAGCCGTGGAAATGAGTGAATGTTGGGGATAAGTGGATGTATAATGAATGGGGAAGAATGAGGAAAAAACAGCAAAGTGGCCTAGTAATGAATAAATATTAGGTATATTTAACTGTTTTTAGTTGGTTAATGTTTTGTATTTTGCTATACAATATTATATTACTAAAAATTTTAGGAGGAAGGTTAGGTGTGAAAGGTATAGTTTTTATGATCGAGATTAAGCAAAAATAATTGAGCATGAAACAACCATTAACTTAGGGTAAAATTCGCCAGATTTGATCCAGCGTAATTATTTCGGGTCGTTACAATCTACTCTTTAAATCGATTCATGAATCAAAATTAGGGCATCTTACCTCTATTCATAATATCCTGATTTATGATCTACTGTAATTCCGTCCCAAGTGGGTATTTAAAACCGCTGTACAAAATTTGAATCAAAATATCAATTGCGTTTATTCATATAATACGTATAACAAATTAGTTTTTCTCTAAACACATTACTAAATCTAACAATTAATATCTCTTATATTCTTTAACTAATTAGGAAAAATAGTAATTAGTTTTCTTTATCCATGACATTTCTTTATGACAGCCCAATATCCGTTTGTACTACTGCTCCGACATCCGCCTGGCCCTCCATTATGAACACGAGACATTTTCTCACAGGCACTCATATTTGCTGGGCATTTTCCTTGGTATCTCTTAATATACGCCTAAAGATTATGCATTAACAGATGAAAAATTGTGAAAAAACTAGTCTTTACCTGGACGCACTTTAATGAGCACTGGTAATCAACGGAACATCTTTTCCAGGCACTATCAATAGATTCTCCACTTTTACGCATCGGTGCTCCACAGTCTTTGTAATATGGCAATTTTATCTGAATATATTTACATATATAGTATATTGTTTGTTTAACTTTAAATAGTAAGTCTCCTTAGAAACGAACTTAAATCCTTTTATACTAAGAAAGTAGGGAAGCAGCTCATTAGAGGTCGGCGTTTGGGTTGGGAATAAATATTTATAAATTTAAAAACTATGTGTTTCTCATAAATATTACAAGATGCGTCCAGGTAAAGACTAGATACAAATATTTACACCAAAAATTCTCTCTATGGCAACAAGTAAAAATATTCAATTAATTCTCAATTTTATTATTATATAAAAGGTGCCCAGGTATTTTTACCTGAAAGTAACCACAACTATCGCTATTAACATCCCAATGACATTTTAGAGGTTTACATCCAGATTCGTGATTACAAATACATTTTAAACATTTTGCTTCATCTGCAGACAAATATTCAATAATTGAATAAAAAATAATAAAAATAATTATTTTATAGAGCATTTAAATAAATTTATTTAGTAATAAAAATTTTTAATTCTAATTTACTTATTTTGCTTTTTATATTACTTAAAAATGCACTTTTTGTTTATAATTTAGTAAATACCAGACAAAATAAATATATTTATTTTAAATACTTAGATTAAAATATGTATGATTTTATTAAAAATATTGAAAGTACTTTATTTATCCAGCACCCTAAAATGATAAATTCAAGCTATTATACGTGCCTTTTTCAGAATTAAAAATAAAATGTATTAATTTATTCAATAAATACCTTAATAAATATATTTAAATGCAAATATTTTCAATTTTAACTTATTTTCATCAAAATATAAACAAAATCTGTTATGCTAAATATTGCTGTTCGAAATACATTCTTGATAGTTGAATCGGCATAATATTGGAGAAATACACAAAGAAATCTCCTTAGATTATGCCATTTTTATGAGTTTTTAGTTATATATTTCTGGATATAAATTAAAAGTTTTTAGTTATGTTTTGACGAATTCGCATAGTGATGCCGAGTAGAGTAAAAATTCTGGTCATTTAAGTATATGTAGTTTAATTAGTAATTTCTGTATTTTTGCGACCTTGCAAACCCTTTGTAAAATTTAAAGCACATCGCTTATTTTTTTTAAAGTTTGTCAAAAATAAATTTATCGTATACGATACCGATCTTGTCTATCTTCAGTTTGTTGATCAGTTTAAATGATACTTGAATTGATAACCAAATTATATTTTTTAACTGTATACATATAATCTTATGCTTTCAATAATTTTTTCAGACTAAACATTTATGCCACGTTTCCCAGCCTAACCCCTCTAAACGAGATTAATAGTCGCTTAGGCAAAAATTTAAATAAATTTAAATAAAATAAATTTTATTATTTGTTCATCTGCTAAAATTGATCATCAGAATTTAAAGTATCACATGAAAGCTAGAAGGATATCGATAAAATAAATTGTCAATGTGCGTTAAAATGGCGTTATTAAGGAAGAAAAATTTAGAAAGTTTATTCTTAAAAGTTCCTCATACTTAGTGATCATTCTGAAAAGTAATCAACCGGAAAATCAGGCAAATGATCAACTGGGTGAGTGAAAAACAATTTTTTGTCACCTTGATATCAGTTCTAGATAAAATTCTTTTTTACGTTTGGTGACCAAAATTCCCATTGGTGAACAAAATTTCAGTGCCCAATATTCCGTTTTTTAATTTGGTGTCCAAAATTCCAAAAAATTGGTGGCTAAAGTTCCGAAAAATTTTAGTGACCGTTGTAATCGTTTTAGACGTGCGATCCTTTGAACGTTTTTAGCCGTGGCGATCCCTTTATGTGACGATCCTTTGTAGGAACACGGTCGGATAGCCGAAAGAACAAAAGGCAGTAGTCGATGAACATATAGTAAAGCAGCTGGGCTATAGCTATTTCTCTCCTTTAGCTAGTGCAAAAGGTTATTCGGCGGCTGGGAGCGAACCAGCATCTTCAGTAGACCGGACTGATGTGTTAGCCATTACACCACGCCGCCTACTGCTCAGCTATATGCTTTACAATATGTTTCAGAAAAGGAAATTTGATCTTGAGTTAAATAATCGTGAATGGCATTTACTTACTTTAATATAGGTTAATTAGATTAAGTATAGGAGGATAGTTGAAAAATACAGCCCCAAGTTTAAAATACAACCCCATTTTAACAAATTAAGAATTTCCCGGTTTCCCGGCCGGGACCCGGTCATTTCTGACCGGGATGAAACCGGGAACGGGAATTCCCGGTTTTCCCGGTCCGGGTCTCTCCCGGTCAACCGTCAGAACCCGCTTCCCGGTTACCGGACCCGGTTTTTTCAAAATTCCGATCTCTACCTAAAACCAGGCCGCCCTAAAACGATATTTTGGCGTTTATTTTATTATTTAAAATTGCACAACATAAAATCTCTTTTAAAATAAAAAAAAATTTTAAAAGAATTTTCCGCCTAATTTATTTAATTTTAAAGAGGTAAATTATATAATTTTATATTTATTCACCTATTTCAGGGTTGTCGTTTTACCCTATTTATAGGGGATTTTCCCTATTTTTGGCCTTTTCGCCCTATTTTTTCCCTATTTTATACATTTGCCATATTTTGCCCCATTTTTAACATTTTGTAATATTTTTCAAATTTTCGGGCATTTTGTAAATAAAAGGCGAAAAAACAAAGAAATTTAACTCATGAACATAAAAATTCCCGAAATTTTCGCCTGCGGCTGAGAAAAAAAGAGAAATATCTACTATTGGTCTTCTTAATTTTTAAAAATTTTCGCCTTCGGCGCTAAAAAAGTAAAAAATCTGGCTTCATAACTTTTCAAAATTCTCAAAATTTTGCTAAGAATGGAAGAAATCTATCAGTTCCAAAGATTTTGAAGAAAAACTTGATTGTCGAGATCGAGATTTTTCGAGATACACATCTGTACAATTGTTGTATGATAAAAATTTCAGTTTTTCGAGATTCGAGATATCTCGTACGATTCTCGTACGACATTCCCAGTCTTGTCTCTAATCTGAACTTTTCTGTTTTTAGAAATTTAGTTAAAACTAGTGGAGAACATGCGGAATAAGGCTTTTTATTTAAAATTTTAATTATTTTTATGTTTTTTAAAATAATTCCCTATTTTTTGCCATATTTTTGACCGATTTCGCCCTATTTTTTCCCTATTTTTGAGTGGCTGCGCCCCATTTCAGTGGTTTGGAAACGACAACCCTGACCTATTTATTAAAATAAAATTTATATCCTATTTAAGCAAGTTATTAAAAGAAGCTTCTTATCTTTCAAAGCAAACATTTTAAAACTAAACCAAGAAAATTCATAATCAATTAAAAAATGAATACATCAATCTTATTTAATTTTATTACACTCTCAATTATTTACGTTATTCTTTACTTATCATTCGTTGAAGCATACACTATAAATGGTATTTAATAATTGATATAAAATTTAATAATATGGAGTAAATACTGCCTGGGTACAGAATCATAGTTTATCAGGAATGCTCATATATAACGGTCATTTAATTGTAGAATTTATGGTTAGACTATTTTAATGACGCAAAATAAAAAATATATAATTATTTTTATACTAAATTTTTTTCAAGATTATCCTGATACTGGTGCAAATAAAGCACATGATCCAAAATTAGGAGGAGGACGATAAGATGGATTTGCTGCAATCTGGGGGTTTTTGCTGGTTAAATGAATAAAAATGTGATTAAAATATAAAAGTTGAATAAAATTGTGAATTAGTTTCCAGCAATATTTTGGGATAAATAAATTTGTGTAATATGTATTTGTCTAATTTCTTCAAGTAAAAAATTCACTACAAAAAGTATTAATCAGGGCAAAAACCCAACTAACACAAAAGAACCCATAGCCTAATTAAAAATTTATAACTGAACGGCAGAATCAGTTCTTTAGAGTAAAAAAACTAAATTTTGTCAAATAATTCAAAGATTTGTGTACAAATAGGTTTTGGAGAATTTAGGGAGAATTTATCTTTTAATTTTAACTTCTAATTTCAAATTGGAGTCAAATGGTGGTCCGGGATTTGAAATAAATAAAATTTGATCTCATTCAGACTCAGCATACATAATTACCTACTGTCAAACTTATACAATACTAGCGAAGGAGCTCGCCCTTCGGGCGAGCTCCTTCGCTAGCATGAACATTTCAACAAAACCATAGATCTCTCCCATTGCCATTCTTTAACCCGACTCTGAACAATCTCTGTTCCGATTGTCTAAACACGTCCCTAAACAAATCCTGAGCTCTTTTCTAACCCATTGACGGAAGCTTTTCTATCAAAAACATGAACTATTTTCCTGATCATTGCTGGATCTCTAAAGCCTGTACTTTTCTATAACACTCCTGGGAAACATTTCTCTTAGCCAAACCTGAACCCTCCGCTGCAACTATTCTCTAACTTTTGCTAAATTTCTCTAACTTTTGCCAATTTCTATTTTGCCAATTTCTATTTTCTTTTGCCAATTTCTATTTTCTAATTTCTCTAACTTTTGCCAATTTCCCCTCACAATCCGCCTGCTTCATAATTCTCTTGTTTAATATTCCGCTTGCTTCACAATTCCCCGATCTTTACAATAACGCCCGCTTAACACTTCCGCCTGCTCCACAAATCACCGTTCCAATATTCCGCCTACTTCACAATTCCCCCTGTTTCAATATTCCGCCTGCTTCACAATTCCCCTTGTTTCAATATTCCGCCTGCTTCACAATTCCCCTTGTTTCAATATTCCGCCTGCTTCACAATTCCCCTTGTTTCAATATTCCACCGCTTCATAATTCCCCTGTTTCAATATTCCACCTGCTCACAATTCCCATTGTTTCAATATTCCACCGCTTCATAATTCCCCTGTTTCAATATTCCGCCTACTTCATAATTCCCTTTGTTTCAATATTTCCCCTGCTTCATAATTCCCCTGTTTCAATATTCCACCTGCTTAATACTCAACGTGTTAAAAATCCCACTTGTTTCAACATACTCCTAACTAAGGTCCGTTTTCGGTCCGAGCCGACATTCGATGCATATTCTTCGAGTTTGATTTTTTTCGATTCGCTTCGTTTTCGAGCTGAAATGTCTCGGCTCGCTCGATCTTTCAAGTTTCGAGTCGAGCGAGCTGGCAACTCTACTCCTAGCACTTGGCACATAAACGTTGTGTTGTGTATGGGCGTTAGCCCTTAAAGTGTTTACTATAAAAGCCAGTAAAATCGTCAGTCTAGTCGGATCATACTAGCGGGGCTAGTCACTGATCTCCTTCGTCTGTCCCATTCCCTTCGCCCACTTATTGTTTATTTCTTTGTGTGATAAAGTGTTATTATTGTGCTCGTCGCATTAGTTAAATCTCGGACACCTTGGGTCGTAACAAATGGCGCGGTCGACAAAAAGTGAAGTGTGGCGAAGTGTAGTGAATTGCTTTGGCAATTAGTGAAAGTGATTGTTTGATTTTGAGTGGACAGACGTCGTAATTAGTGATCGGCATGAGTCGAAGTGAAATGAGTGAATTGTTAGTTGGTGCGCATGGACCTTTTGAGTTAGTGAGTGTGACCTGAAAAGGACTCAGTGCGAGTGCCAGTGGTCGAATTTTAAGGCTGAAATGCCTAGTTTAAGGCTGAAATGCCTAGTTTAAGGCTGAAATGCCTAGTTTAAGGCTGAAATGCCTAGTTTAAGGCTGAAATGCCTAGTTTAAGGCTGAAATGCCTAGTGGTCCTGGAAGTGCGCAGAATTTGGCCGATCAAGTTTGAAGTGTCTGGCATTCAAGAGAATGTAAGTCCAGAAATTGAGTAAAGTGAAAAATGTAAAAAGTGAAAATTTGGCAGCCTACGGGTGGGTAAGACCAAATAATGAAGATTGAATTGTTAGTGAATAAAGTTAAATTTGGCAGCCTAAGGGTGGGTAAGACCAAATAATGAAGTGAGTAAAATAAAATTTGGCAGCCAAAAGGGTGAGTAAGACCAAATAAGTGAAGTTTGAAATTTTGAGTGAATTGAATTGCAGTGAGTCAAAGCGCTGAGGAGTGAGTATTAGTGATTGAAGTATTATGCCAGCGCAAGTGAGTGAAGCAACCCAGACTACACATAGTGTAAGTTCAGTGAAGTGTTGCGGTACCTGAGTCTTTGACAGAGGCAGGATGTAACAGGCATCCTTTGAGTGGTTAGTTAGTAGTAGTAGTAGTATTCAAGTGATAGTATTAAACCACGAGCCATCCTAAAAGTACACGGGAAAACGGCACCGAACTGCACACTAACTATATGTTAGTGTTGTGGTGTTTGACTTCATTTAAGTCGTGAAATAGTGATAGTGATGCAATTCAGTGAAGTTTAGTTATTGGGCACAGTGTTAAAAAAAGTGAATGTAGTGCCGCAATAGAAAGTGTAAAAAATGGAATTAAATAAAAAGTGAAGAAAATAAAATAGTGAAGAAAAGTGAAAAATAAAAGTGAAATGCTTATGGACAAGCAGTGTGATGATCAACAGTGTGATTGCCTTGATGGGAGCTGCTGTATGCACTGTAGATGTCCGCTGCCAGAAGAAAAAATAAAATGTGGAATAAGATGACAAATTTTGTGATGTTATGTAAATTGTTGTAATTTTAATTTGTTGTTTTGCTTTTTGCCCTTTTGTCATCCCACATTTTTTGTATTTTGTTGTGAGTTGAGTGTTAGAGTGAGACTAGACGAACTGGCTTAGTGAAATTGTATTGATAGCATGGAAGCTATAGTGAATGTTTAAAATTGTAAAGCTTCGGCTTTAAGTGAAAGCCGAACCTTTTTTTCAAGGGGGGAGGTGTTGTGTATGGGCGTTAGCCCTTAAAGTGTTTACTATAAAAGCCAGTAAAATCGTCAGTCTAGTCGGATCATACTAGCGGGGCTAGTCACTGATCTCCTTCGTCTGTCCCATTCCCTTCGCCCACTTATTGTTTATTTCTTTGTGTGATAAAGTGTTATTATTGTGCTCGTCGCATTAGTTAAATCTCGGACACCTCGGGTCGTAACACGTTGACTCCAATGACACACAGGACCTCATCAAAAGTTGATGTAGAACAGAGCAAAGTTGAGTTGATGTTGGTATCAGTTGAAGAATGAGCAAAATAGCCTGCTTTTATACTATCTTCCGAAGCCAAAACTTAATTCAAGCTGCTGAGCTTTACTATAAAACCCCCCATTTCCTCACTCCCCAAATCATTTTAGTATAAAAGCCCTCATTTCCCCACTCCCCAAATCATTTTACTATAAAAGCCCTCATTTCCCCACTCCCCAAATCATTTTACTATAAAAGCCGTGTGACAAACAATTTCCTTCCATTCACAAATTATATGTATATAGGATTGGAAATAGACTTCCTCCTATATTAATGAGATGTCAGAGTTCGGTCGAAAATGACGAAAGTGCAAAAGTATGAAATACCAGACGACAAAATCCACAGGTAAAAATGTGCTCGGAAGTGCGATTCTCTCAATTATGAAATTGTAAAATATTTTGTAATTTTAACAAAAAAATAATTAAAAAATAATAATTTTTGTAATGCCAAATTCATTTTAAATCCCAAAATTAATTGCCATCAAATTTCTTTTTATTTTCCTCCAGCACATTGTTTAACAGCATTCCAATAAACATCAGTTCTAGCGAGAGAACATCCATTTGGCCCTCCATTATGAAGACGTGACATTCTCTCACAATCACTAATTGGTCTATTACATTGACTTGCATATCGGTTAATATAAGCCTAAAAATATATTTAATGTGCAAATATTTTTTAAAAACCCTAATGCATTGAACAGAGCAACCATAATCTAGAGCACATCGTTTCCACCCATCCTCTGTACTTTCTCCACTTCTAAGGCCAGGAGTGCCGCAATCGAGATAATAAACATGTTTAATCTGTATTTGAAAATTATTTTTCAAAACAACATGAGAACAAATAAATAAACATTAAAATGATTATTAAGTGTTATCCGAGGACATAAATAATATTAGGTATGTTTTTGTTTAGTACCCAATATTCTATCATATCAATTTTTTGTGTAATCAAATGAAAAGTATATAAAACCGAGTCCTTTAATCAGTTTACATTGTTTTAATTGACTAAAGCAGTTGGGCTATAGCTATTTCTCTCCTTCAGCTAGTGCAAAAGGTTAATCGGCGGCTGGGGCGAACCAGCATCTTCAGTAGACCGGACTGATTATCCATTACAACATACCGCCTACTGCACAGCCATAGGAATTAAAACAATTGGTTTTTTATAAACTTAAATTTCGAAATAAAATTCTAAGATTGAACTAAGTACATAAGTACTTCACTTAACATCTGGATTTCAAATTTATTTTTTGTTTTTAATTTATAAATATATCTTCTTATATGTATCAAAAAAATACTTGAAAGTATCCACAACTAACAGCATCATCATCCCATGCACAAGGACGGGGTGTACATCCAAAAGATTCATGCTTACAAATACAACTTAAACAAGTTTGTTCGTCCGCCGTTTTAATTGAAACAAAAAATAAAGAAAAAATAATAGCTTTAATGAGGGCTTTCATTTTTGAATTTTTCAATGTTTACAATAATTTTTCTTTTTTGGATATATTTCCTCAATTTTCCTTCTCAATTTATATAAAATATTTTGGCAAATATTGTAACAATTAAATTATTTTCTTTTAATTTTTTTATTTATTCAGCCATTAAACGTTTTAAAAAAATCAACAAAAATATTTTTAAATATTTATTTTTAGGCTTTAACAATGAAACAAAATTTAAAAATTTTCAAAAAAAAATTTTTTTTTGTTTATTTAAAAGTACAAATTAATCTTAAAGAAAGAAATTTTTAAAATTCCCATTCTATTTTTGAGTTTTTTTTATTTGAACAGATTTAATTTAAAAATTGACATTAAATGAACTGTCTGGAATTTTTATTTTTAAATTATTTTTTAGATTTTTTGTTTGTTTCTTTATAGATTTCTTTAGCTACTTCTAACTAGTAATTATAAGACATATTTTAAATTTTAAATCAAATTTAGTAGATATGCCAAATAATTACAATTATTATTTAAGCATCTCCCCGGAGAGAGTAATTAAGAGGAAGGGTAATTATTTGTGTTAATTAATTATTCGAGAGAGGGCAATTATTGAGTATACATATGTGTATGTTAAGTAAATTTTTTTTCAACATTTGTACAAAATTATACAGAAAATGTACAAAATTTATAAATTTACTTCATAGAAATAACTTCTTTAAAGTATCAATTTTAGCATTTAATCTTTAAATTTTTAATTTCCTCGATTTCTTTTATAAAACTCGTAAGCGATATCCGCTAGGTTCGACTGCAACTGTAGTATGTCTTATAGCTGCAGCAAATTCCCCTGTCCTTGGAGGGCACGCTAAAATTAAAAATATAATTAATTAATTAATTGATTCAAGTTTTTTTTTAAAATATTCAATTTAAATTAATTAATTACCACAATATTCAGCATCAGAGCCAGGAGAACCCACACCTCCCGGCTTTCCTGTCTCACCATCCTTTCCAGGTTCTCCAGGCGGGCCAGGCGGTCCAATTGGTCCTGGAGGGCCTGGCTCTCCAATTTTTGGTGTGCTTTAAATAAATAAATATGTTAATTTTTATTATTTCTTACTCTCCTGGCAGACCAGGCTCTCCTTGCTTCCCTGGAGGGCCTGTTGCTCCTTTCGGCCCAGGTTTAGAAGTAGATGCTTGTCCGGAAGCCCCTGGTTTTCCAATCACTCCAGGCTCGCCTGGTGCTCCTAATGGGCCTTTATCGCCTCGAGCACCTGGTTTTCCTGGATCACCCTGCAGAGAATAATGTAAAATAAATAATTTAACTCTTTTTAACCTCTTTTCCAGGCAATCCCGGTTTTCCATTCTCTCCAAGTGGGCCAGGTTTTCCAGGCGGTCCATCACTTCCTGGCGCTCCTTTTGCCCCCATAGGGCATTTAATGCAAACAGATTTTTGCATATTACTCACAACACCAATTCCTGCAATACCTTGATGCCCAGGTTGTCCGGGTATTCCATCTTCCCCAGGAATTCCTTTAATTCCTGGAGCTCCTGCAGGACCTGCATAATAAAGGAAGTATAAAATTTAATAAAATAATTTTTTAAATAAATTTATTACCCGAAGGACAATTTCTAGAACGTAAAGCACAACTACCACAGTTACGATTATTTAAAGTCTGTTGTTGTTGTTTTAATTGGAAATTCTGTTTCCCCAAATTTGGTGATTCAACAGCAGCTGTTCCCAGACTGTCGTAACCTTGACGTTTTGTTCTCAATGAATTCTCATTTAAATTATTCTGATTAACTTTCATTATTTTATTCCAAGCTTTATTTTCCAAAATCTTTTGAATTTTTTATTAAATAACAATTAAATTCACTAATTAATTACATTAAATTCCTCCAATTCCAAATTAATTTCATTATAAAGATTGCTTAATTCACGCAAGAGTGAAGCACAAACAATTAATGTAGCAATAATAAAAATAGAAATTGTAATTAGTATTGGCCCAATAATTGTTTGTTTTATTTTGTTTGATGATTTAATTGACGAGGACATTTTATTTTTAAATAAACTTTATAATTTTTAAAAATTAATTTAAAAGGTTTATAAATTTTATAAAGGAAAAAACAAGAAAGATGCACTTTCTTCACTTTAACTTTCAGAGCTTTATGCTAACATTAGAGACAGGCGCGGGACAGAAGCCCGCGCGGGATTTTGCGGGATCCCTCGTACACAATCGCACACCTTTTGCATTTACGGGATTTTGCTGCATGCGGGATTTTTCGGGATTTATCACGCAAAATCCTGTTACGCAGGAGTTTTTAGAAAATAATCCTGGCGCAAGATCACGCAAACACGATTTTGCCGGTCTCTAGTTTAAAAAATATTTAAATTACATATATCTATATAAAGCTATATGTTCATATAACTATAATTTCTTGTAAAAAATAAAAATATTAACTAAATAATGATTATATATCCATAAATATCCCCCACAAAACTCATCATTACAACATATATTTATTTTTGTATTTAATAAATAACAGGCTTCTCCGACTTTGTTTTTTTATTTCAGGAGCCTATATGTCGCGCATTTTTTATTTTAATAAAAATGAAAAAAAATACATAAAAATTTATTTATTAAACAAATTTGTTTTCTTTGTAAAATAAATGGTTGAGTGAACAAAATAAAAGCTTTGATGGTGTTTTTCTTTTTAAAATAAATTTTCTTGTTTTTTTTCTGCATGATCTATTTTTTTTCTTGAAATGAATTTTTTAATTTGATAGAATTTTGAGAGATAATTTAACCGTTTTGTTAATCTTTAATAAGTCTGAAATATACATAGTTTAAAAAATATTTGGCTAAATTATGGTTTTAATTTTTCGGGACTAAAAATTTTTCAGAAAATTGGACTCTAAAATTTTGGAATTTTAGGAAATGTACATACTTTAAATATAAAATTATATGTATGTAGTTTTAAATTTGAAAAAAAGTAAAAATAGAATTAGAGATCGGCTAAAAACGCCTGTTCCGAATTTAGTCTTTCTTTTGCAAATGTTTAGTATCATACATTCTCATTGAGCCTAACAAAAATCTGAAAAAATCTCGGGAAATTACTACACTTCTTTTCTGCTGCTCTTTATTTGTACACCGAAATTTTTCCAAAATTTTCCAGATGTTTATTAGTACAATGCGTGTTGTGTATGTATGTTGCTGCAAATTTGAATAAGAAAGGGCAATATCCGGAACAAACTTCAAATAAATAAAATAATAATTTTAAACAAAATAATTTTTATTTCCAAGCATCTTTAAGCATTGTAAAATGTTTTTCCATTTCATCATTATTTATTAAATTGCTTCCATTAATTGCAGTTGGAATAGCATTTTCTTCAACAATATTTATTCTGTTAGATTTTTTAAATTCTATTTTATAAATAATTTTTATTAAATTTTTCTTCAATGTTGAGTGATGACTTTAAAAATTATTTAATTAATTTATTGAAAAATATTTTTATTAATTTTTTATTATTTTCTACATAAGATTGTGAATTATAAAATATTTATTGTCTAAATAATTAGTAATTACATAATTAAAGTTAGGTTTTTCGAAAAAACAGAGACCATTGATCACCGTGACTGAAAATTTCGAGATCGGAGGTCAAAATTGAGTCGAATTCTGAGGTCGAGGGAGTCTTCCATTTCTTAGAAAAAAGTCGATTTTTAGGGGTGTATATTTAGCAACGTTCCTAGGCAAGGTACTTGGCGAGAACCGAGACCGAGGTGTCGCGTTTTGTACGCGAAACTATTTTTGTATTTTTTGCATCTGCCATAATTTTGAATATTTTCTAAATTTTTTGTAAACTTAACTAGTACCAGCCAACACAAATTTAATCTTTTTAATTGTTCATTGAAAACCCGTTAGTCATTCTTTCAACTCCTTTGATCTAAAAATGTAATTTCTAACTTTTACTAGTTGTCACCGAACATCTGCTATTTTTAAACTTTGTCTATGTAAATTCCAATTAAAATGACCGGCCTATAAAAGCCCATATCTTTACTCTTAATTTAGCTTCTTTTTAGCTTCACTTTAGCTGCTTCTTAGCTTTATTTCAACATTCACCCTTCTTTAGCTCAACAAGGCTAAAATATTCCTTAAAGTGTTTACCAATAATTTATGCCCGATCTTAAACAAGAAGATCATATATTTCCCCTGATTATCCAGAATATATTTCTCCAATCTTAACAAGAAGATTAATCTAATTTGATCCCAGTTTTACCACTAGACTTTAAATTTTGAGCCACTTTTAATTTGTATATTTCGAATTCAAAGTAAATAAATTTTTTATGGTTTTTCATTAACTTAATAAAAATATGGCAAACAACAATTTTGCCTTAAAATTCCATTTTTCAAAAAAAGAAATTTGGTTTTTTATAGCTCAGCCGGTGACCCGTTATTAACCGGGCATCATATCCTCTACTCCAACTTTTAATATTTTTTGCCAAATATTCTTTTGTTTTCTCCCGATTTATTTAAAATGTCAGCATTCTACAGAGAACAGATTAACAACCTTTTCATTCCCGCCACTAAAATCGTAGAAAACCAGAAAACCTTCCCTGTCCCGATAAAATGCCTTACCCAGACTACGACCCAATTTCATGATTGTATAAGGTCTATTATTGGCGACCTTGATATCGAAAAACAAAATGCAACATTCCTTCTTGACAACTTATCCTTATCCCACTCACAATGGATGGCTCTGAGGACTTCAATGACTGAAAATGAAAGGCTAAACGACAGCCGAATATTCGATGAATTCCTACAAAAAACACCATATTTAAAAATTATTAATGAAATTAAACGCTACTCCCGTAAACTACGTTGCTACCGTAATAATTTAGAAAATTCCTTACCTAAAAATTGCTTACAATTTGACCATTCTGACCTCCTTCCCGAATTAAATTTAGCACCAGATTGTATTACAACTTTAAAATCTCCCCCGAACCAACCTTTTAAAGAAAATCTTCAAAGCCCTTTACCAGCACCCTATAATTCAAGCAACCATTTTTATTCTAACCAGACCCATACTCAGATTAATTTATCGCCAAATCCTTTAAACCAAGAAAACCTTCCTTCCACCCAAAATTCAAACATTTTAAGAAATGAATTTAATAATTTTTACGGCTCCCAAATTCTAAACCACCAATCTTCTAACAATAATTATAAAGAAATTTCCTTTGGACCACCTCCCGGCTTTGACTCCTTTGAAAAGATTCCCATTATTGATAAAAGTAAACCTGATGACATCAAAAATCCTAATTGTGAAGAATTAATCCCATTACCAGAGCTTATAAATGAGAATTGTGACAACAAACAACACATTAATTCCGAAGAATCACAACATAATCTAAATGATAATCCCCCTCCCGGCTTTCCTCCTCTCGAAGAGATTTGTATTATTACAGACAAGAATAGTTCTGATGATTTTAAAGATTCCATTTGGGAAGAACAAATCCAATTACCAGAAATTATAAATGAAGAATATGAGGACGAACAACACACTTACCGTATTTCCTTAAATAGTACTGCCCCCTCTATTAGTACTGCCCCCTCTAATAGTACTGCCCTTTAGAGGAAGGTTGAAAAATAGTACTGCCCCCTCTATTAGTACTGCCCCCCTAATAGTACTGCCCCCACCTAAAAAATATAAAAAATAGACAAAATTTGATTTTTTAATCATAGTAATTATTCCTCGCAATTAGGGTTGCCGTTTTCGAGTCGGGCCGACGGGCGAGGCATTTTATCGGGCTTGTTTTTATCGAGTCGGGCCGGTACACGAGTCTTTTCGGGCCTGCTTTATCGAGTCGGGCACCGAGACATTTTCGAGTCTTTTTTTTTAAATTTATTTACCTAATTGGTGGATACCTAATTGGTGGATTTGGGTGAATATCGGAGAATTAAAGTGATATCAAAGGATTTGGAGGGTAAAAAAAGGCGGAAGAGATACCGGGTGAGTAAGAGGGATATAGGCGGATTTGGAGGATTAAGGGAATTTCAATATATATCGGAGGATTGAAGTCCTCATATATAAGGATCTGATGTCCCTCTTAATCCACCCAAATCCCAAAACGGAAATCCACCAAAAGCCACTTCTAATTTATGGAAATATTCTTGGAGCGAGGTACGGACTTCAGTATATCCTAAAATATAGTTATAAAATAAAGGGTGACCCCCCTTATGTATTATATCCCCTCAAATCCCTTGATATCCCTGATGTCCGTCCCAATGGGGATTGTAAGATAATTGAGGCTTTGATTTACAACAAAGCTTTAATATGACAGACCTTTAGACCTTTCAGATCATATCGGAGGACTCATACGAGGGAATTATACAACTATCGTCGATATATGTAGTATTGCTCGTAAGACCGGAGAGTTTTTGATTTTTTAAACAAAGCCATTCAAATTATAAAAAATTATTGATATTCTTACAAATTTAAATTCATTTACATATAAATTGCAGTATTTTGTTGCACATTATTTATAAAAAAGTTTAAATTTCTGATCTTGAAAAAAATCCCGAATCCCGGATAATTATTTTCGGGATTTTTGAAATTCGGGGTTTTTTCGGGATTTATCCCCCGGAATCCCGTCCCGGCATCGTTTAAGAAAAAATCCCGACTTGGGATCCCGGAAGTTCGATTTTGATTTAGGATAGTTTTCGAGCATACTATTGTGGATAATACAAAAAATCTATCCACAAAAAGATTCAGGTTCAACAAAAAAAGATTCAGATAATTTCGAAAAAGGGT